GGCCTTAAATCATCCGGCTTAAAAGAAACCCTCTGTCCTACACCAAAACTCAAGGCGGTAACTGCAGGCAGAGGAGACAGACGTGTATCTGCTAAAGCATGAAACCATCAGTAAAATATGAAACACATTTACAGCATCAACAGGCGAAAACAGGCGACCTGCTTCGCAAAACCAGATGACAACCAATAAATACTGAAGTTAGTTAAGGAGCTCCTAAACTAGGGATGCAATTTTTAAAAAAAAACAAAATTTTTTTTTTTTAAATGAACTAAAGATTTTTGTAATAATTCCAAACTAAGCACAGAATTAAAAGAACAAATAATAAGCAATATGAATACATTAATGTGCAAACCACATTAAACAGCTTTCCCTGTGTAGGTTCCAAGACTCCATTTTAGAAGAAGAAAGAATAGATCTCTGCCTCACTAACAAGCATGTGGTAAAAGTCGACTAATTAGGAGTGTTTCCTTTAAAGTTGGAGTGCATTTGCCTGAGAGGCAAGGAACCAAAGGTCTGCATACAAAAAAGCCATATCTATAAAAATGCATGTACACTCAAAACTTAAGTTCTGGAATAAGACTAAAGTCCAGAGGCGGACGAACAACCAGAACTTTCCGCCGGAGTTTACAGCCAGTGAATGTAAACAAGAAGAAGAATCGGCAGCTTAGCTTTCTAATACTTGAACCAAGTAAAGTGTCATTTAGGGGGAACTGGACCCAACAGGAAGTCTTAGTTTTGCGGAGTCTGAGGCAAGACAGTTGAAAATAAGGTTAAGTGTAACATCCAACCTGACAGTCTGGCAAAAACAGCTCTCCGGTGGACAGCAGATGGGAAAAGGAGACGTGGACAACCTAAGGAAACCTGGAGAAGGACAACAGAACCGGATATGAAGGAATGTAAACTGACGTGGGATGCCATGGGCAGAAAAGCGGCAGACCTGCAGCAATGGAGATCACTTGTGAATGCCTTCTGTGTCAACAGCAACATGAAGAGGATATAGAATACAACCATCAAGACAATGAATCCACTCAAAGATTGACACTGTGCAGCTGCTGCAAGTAACACACAAAATAATAGCAAAAGGTCAACAACTTGAATATAAAGGTTAAAGTACGATTGGCAGCTATTATTACCAGATGTAGGTTATGGACTGCCTGTGTGTTTCTTTTCTGTGTCCTTCACTCAAATGATACCTTCAGAAGTTGAACAATTTGCTTGCTGCTGAAGATTGTGATGGAGCTCTTATGAGTGCGCCTTTAGTGCTGTGATGTCGATATTTAATTAAACACGCAACCTTCTTCCCTCAGAGTATTTTTTTTTTACTCTTTCCAGACATATCTTCATTTAGGTTGATGCAGAATCAGTCATGTTTAGATATATCGCCATCCAAATGCCTACCAACACAGACACTAATATTGTTTAATTTGCTAGCAGAATGAATTTGTATGAACCTGTTTTGAAAGGGAAAAAAAAACAGAGTTAGCCAAATTAAGTTGTTTGTCTATCACGATTGATGAAGACCACTTTCATCCAAAGTAGTAATGATCAATGATTATGAGTACAAAGGTGGCTGATTAGTCCAATATGAGCCAGGAAAGCTCTTGAGCAGTGCGGACAACAGTTGGAAGCCACAGTAAGTGTGGGATTAGCACAATTCTGTCTGGTCTGCCTCTGTTTTTTTCTGCCTGTGCAACCTCCGCTGCCTGGCAGGCCGATACACCATGCCTGAGGGACGTACGCCATCCAGAACAGTCTTGTGCAGCAGCCTTCCACGTCGCTGTGGTGATGCCAAAAGAATTAAGAGCAGTCTTGAGAGTGTCCTTACAGCCCTTTTTCTGTCTTCCCTGGCACCTCTTCCCTTGCTGGAGCTCGTCATAAAATACTTTCTTTGGGAGGCGATAATTTCTGGCATGCTGGTTAGGTGAGCAGCCCAACGCATCTGACCATTCTTCAGCATCGTGTGGATGCTGGGCAGGTTTGCCCTATCAAAAACCACAGTATCTGGGATCTTATCTTGCCATTTGATTTTGAGCACCTTACTGAGACAGGTTATATGAAAGCCAAATTAAGTATTTATGTTCTCAAAGCTTGGTGAGTGAGATAATTAATTTTAAAGTTGTTTTACAGCGCTTTACAATTTGTGTATGTTTTTAATTTTACTTGTATGTCCTGAAATTTGGCATGTCACATACACAATTGTCATAAAATCCAAAGCATTTAGATTAACCTGTCTCAAATTCAAAGACTAGTTGATGCATAATGAGTAAAGAAGGCATTTGAATTCTTAGAAATTAATAGCAGCGTTGCTGATAAAGAAAAAGAGAGATAGGTATAAAACTTTAAAACAAGTCAAAAATTGTGTGCGTCAACATTCTTAAATTTGGTGTCATTTTAATATTTTATTTTGCAATACTGATCCTTTAGAAAAGAAGTTTAGATGTATTCTGTATTCCATTCTCTTAAATTTGATACATTACATGTCACTATACATTATTCTTTTTTTAAGAAGGTTTTAGCTTTGTCATGTTAAAAAAAAAAAAAAAAAAACGGCTCAAAATTAATTCTTTCCTAAACCCAGAAAAAATATCTTCCTAAAGAGTTGTTGTTCGCCTTCTACTTACCTGGTCGCTCCTCTTCTACCTTGGGGTGCACAAGTTTGCTAGAAAGATCGTAAGACTTCTCTATAAGCAATTTTCTTTCCTGCTTTGTTCCATTCCAGTCCTCTGTCAGGGACTCTTGGATATTGTCTTCCCAGCTTACTCTGGGTCGCCCTGGAGGTCTGGTTCCCTGGTTCTTAGCCTCCCGTGCCTGCCTTGGTGGTTGATTTTCTTCCATTCTACATACATGACCAAACCATCACAACTGTGACTGATCCACTCGGATTTGCAAGGTATGGGTATCAAGATCTTGACATATTGTCTGATGTGCCAGAGTTGTGGATGATACTCCTATTTCTTCTCACTGTATAGTTTAATAAGCCACAACATCAACCAAAAGAAAACTGTTTTCATTTACAGCATCAACCAATTAAAACTGTTGTCATTTACAGCATTAACCAATGAAAACTGGCAAATTGCCTTGCAAAACCTGGTGACAGCCAATAAATACTGAAGATAATTAACTGGGGATGCAAATTTTTTTTTTTATATATTTTTTTTTAATGAACCAAACATCTTTGTAAGAATTCCAAACTAAACGCAGAATCAAAAGAACAAACAAAAAGTGATGTGAATACAATAATGTGCAAACCACATCAAATACTTCCTGTATCAACAAATGCAGACTATACAACTAGTACTCTATTTGAAAGCATTCTGTGCATATTTTAACTAAAGTAATCTGTGCACATTTAGTTAAAAAAATAAAAAAAAATGGGAGATACATAAAGAACTTAGTTAACAGAAAATCTGAAAGCCATAAAGGATACTTAAACTTCATAAAATCCATTACAATTAAAAAAAAACAAAAAAAACATTGCGGCGACAAACCTTATTAGAAAACGACAAGAAACAAATCAACAAAAGAAATGACACTGAATTAACTACATTTTAGTATTCAAATATTTCAATATATGCTATCACACTTATGGATATATGCCATCACATCTTATTTAAAAGATTTTCTGCACTGTTAAACACAACAAGCACAAAATGCTAGATAATCACTACACCAGAGGTGAATGTGAATTAAACATGAGAAAAAGTCACAATGTAAAGAAAAACCAATGCAATCACGTTTTGTTAAATATGTGATCAGCGAATTCATTACACAATGCATTATGAACAAACACACCAGTTTTCTTTGTTGAGTCATGGACATCACCAGATGCATTCAACATACAGAAAACTAGTTTAGCTACAAACAAAAGAAGCATATATTTATGCTCAGGCTAAAAACACTATAATAAAGTGAAGATTAGACAAAAGAGGGTCAGAAAATACTATTATAAAGTATCAAATTAGAAAGTGATTGGTCTGTTAATACTTTAATAAAGTGAAGATTACACAAACAATAGGTCTCAGAATACTATAATAACGTGAAGATCGGACAAACAATAGGTCTGGAAAAAACAACTACAATACAATGAAGACTAGACAAATTGCCTAAAAATACTAGAACGAAGTGAATATTAGACATGTGATCAGTCAGAAATTACTGTGAAAAAGTGAAGATCAAACAAATGATCTGTCTATAAATATTATAATAACACTAAGATTAGACAAATGATTAGTCTGAAAATTCTATAATAAAGTGAAGAAACTATTTTAATAAAGTGAAGATTAGACAAATAATTGGTCTGAAAATACTATTTAAAAAAAAAGAATTAAGATTAGACAAATTATTGGTCTGAAAATACTATAATAAAGTGAAGATTAAACAATTAACCATCACAAATAATAATATACCTAAAGTTTTCATTATCTGTTATTTCGCCCATTCAATACCAAGCAAAAAGCCATACACTTATTGAGTTCAACTGATATCATCTTTTCTTTTGGTGAATAAACATGTAAAGTTGTTTAATTATGGGTGCTTTCTTCGCCTGAGAGGTGAGCAACCAATAGTCTGCAAACAAATAAGGCAGGTCTGAAAAATAGACGTGCAGGCAAAAGTCAAGTTCTGGAACAATTTAAATGTCCAGAAATGGACAAACAATGAGAATTTCCCATCAAAGCTTACAGATGGTGAACACTAAAAGAAGAAGAAAGAGAAGAAGAAGAAGAAGAAGAAGAAGAAGAAGAAGAAGAAGAAGAAGAAGAAGAAGAAGAAGAAGAAGAAGAAGAAGAAGAAGAAGAAGAAGAAGAAGAAGAAGAAAAAGAAGAACAAAAAGAAGAGGAGGAGGAGAAGGAGGAGGAGAAGAAATCTCCTTGTTCAATAATCAACAATTATTTCAGTGGCAAATGGTTAGGTGTAGCATTTTCAAACAGACAAAGGTACATACTGTGGAAGATTCTTCTGCTGTTCTTCAAATTAATTACTCAAATAATTTAATGTTTATCTCATTTATCTTTTACATTTTCATAATATCGCTTCCACACTTCCTTGATCTGTTTCACCCAGTCTTGGGCATCAGGCTGCCGACTTTCTAAATAGTACGTTCGGTTTGGCTGTGGGTGAAAATACAAACATACAGTTTTAAAACTGGTAAATTTATGCTCAGCAATAAAAAGAGGGAAAGCTAACAGATACATCTGAAGTTATTAAAAACAGGTGTGCGACAGGGATGTCTTTTGTCACCTTTGCTATTTTGACTGGCAATAAACTGGATTATGCAGACAGCAACTGCAAACACCAGGAATGGAATTCACTGGAGCCCTACAAAACTGGACTTCACTGATGATATCTCTCTTCTGTCCCACTCACGGAATCAGATGCAAGACAAGTTAAACACACTTGCTACGAGATCACAACAGCTAGGTCTTAAAATTCAAAATGGAAAGACAAAGATATTGAGAGTAAATTACAGTAATGTGGTTTCTGTTACTGATATCCCTCCCCAAGATTTGGGCAGCAATGTAAAGATGGGGGAACTGACAGAAATATTAAAATAAGAATACAAAGGGCAAGAGAAGCTTTCCTAACACTAGGAAATTTGTAAAGCTTAAAAGAAATTAAAGTAAATAAAGATCCCTTTTCACGCCTTTAGGTGTATCGGATATATGGGAAGAGTGCCCATATTTTTACAAACCATCGGACTTAGGTGGGAGATGTGGTCAGCATTACACCGGTCGTCTTTACTTCCCATTTTAGGCCGTGTCGACCTGCGACGCCCCATACCATGATACAAATGCACGCACCAAGCAGCGGATTTCGATGGCGGAATGTTGGAATTATGAGTTTGACTCGCAACGCCTAAGCTATGTATGCAAATGAAATTTAAAACTAATACTAAACTGAAAATGTGTAATTATAATGTCAAATCAGTTCTGTTGTAGTTAGCCAAAACATGGAGAACTAAGCAATTACTAATAAACAACAAACATTCATTAACTGGTGCCTGTGCAAAACAGAGGGAGTTAAATGGGATGATAGAATCACTAATGTAGAGCTTTGTGAGAGTACCAAACAGGTTCCAGTGGACTAAGAGGTGAAGAAAACATGCCGGCGTTTGATTGGAAATATTGAGAAAACCTAGGAACAATTAAATAGAATGTCTTTGTGTTGAAACCCACAGATTCATACAAATCAAGAAAGATCCCTAAAAAAAAAAACATGGAGAAGGGAGCAAAAACAAATGAGCAGGACATGTGAAGAGTTGCATGTGATAGCGAAGGATAAAATTACTTAGTGTGAGTTTGTTGAAGGCTATGCTCCATCGGGGGTAGAAATCAGGGGAAAAAAAGACTAAAAAGACAAAAAGGAATTTTTAGAAAAAAAAAAAAGACTAAAAAAAGACAAAAGGAATTTTTAGAATATCTACAATTATGTCTTCTTCTTCTTCTTCAGCATTCTTTTAAAAGAGCGGGTGGCACCTTGTGTTGTGGTTTACAGCTAGGCTGTCATATCTGCTCATTTTGGCCCAACATATCCCATTTCAGCAAATTCCTAGTCACCTAAAGAGAAATTCTTGAGAGGGAGTGGTGGGTCTTTTTGCTCCCAAAACAGGGCCTCGGAACCTACACTGGAAACAATGACAGTCATTCTGGAAGCTAAACTTGCCTGTTAGTCTGAAAATCTTGGATATGAATCTGTCTCAGGAGTATTGTTTTCAACTGACTTAGAGCTCCCAGTTCGACTGAGCAAAAATAGGTACCAGGACATGTTCTGGGAGGTAAAGGCAGCAGGTGTGATGTTGACTATATCACCCTCTGAGCGCATATTGTCCATAAAAGTATACGCCTTACACCATATGCCAGCAAATCATTGGCGTAGAGATCTTTTTTTTTCCTTCTTCTTCTTCGTGGTGACCGGCTTTAAAATCTGGCAGAAAGATCTGGTTGTTCATCCACCTCTGGACTTTAAAGACTGGTTCCAGAACTTGAGTGCTGCGTGCACATCCATTTTACAGACCTGACTGATCTGTATGCACTGTTATTTCCTTGCCTCTCAGGCAGATGCACTATGACTTCAAAGGAAACCCTTGTTTTGTCGACCCTTACGGATATGCTCGTTGGGGAGGCAGTGGGTCTATTCTTGTCCCTTCCCTCCCCTCCCCAATGGGGCCCTGGAACTCACACGGGGAAAACACAAACATGGTCATTCTTTACATTATATCTAGTGCAATCAATGTTATGAGCATGTAATGTAATAAAATGGCACTTTCTTGGTTGTTTTTAATTGCATGTCTTCTTCTTCTTCTTTGCATTCTCCAGTTGCACATTCTGGCGGAAAGTTCTAGTTGCTATTCCACTTCTAGACTGCAGTCCTGCTCCAGAACCTCAGTGTTACGTGTGTATCAGTTTTACAGAATGCAGACTCTTAGTTCCTTGCCTCTCAGGCAGATGCACTCCGACTTCAAAGGAAGCTCCCCAATTAGACAACTCTTACGACATGCTTTTGGGGAGGCAGTGGGTCTAATCTTGTTTTCCTCACAATGGGGCCCCAGTGCCCACACAGGGAAGCCATACTGTAATATCTGCGCCTTTTAGTCCAATACGTCCGATTTCGGCAACCTCTGATATATTTTTATGCCTTTTATCACATGCTTATTAGGAGGGCAGAAGGTCTATTATTTAATTCCCACAAAATTGGAAACACTTACCTTTAATCTAACAGTTGGGAAAACCAACCAATACCAGCTCACATGCTATTCTCACACCAAGCAATCAAAAAAATTTGACTCACCGTATGGACAAAGAATATTTTGAAGTTTTTGGCTTCTGGTCGCAGATATTTTGACCTGAAAGAAGTGCACACAGATAATTGCATGTTATTTTATTATCACTTCAAAGTAATAAATTTTAATAACAATTATGTTAATAATCAATATTTACATCCAAGCCAACATCTCTGCATCTTCTTCTCATTCTCTCATTTCTATTTTACCATTGTTCTTTCACATTTTTCTTCAGTTTCTTTTTTATTCTACCCATACTGCCCAGGCAACAAATGTTGAGGTGTTGGCGGATAAGTATAAATATTAGTTATACTGAAAAAATGCTTAACATAATTACATGCTAAAGAAAACAAAAAAATAGGACAAAAGACAACAGAAGCTAGAAAGCAGATGAAATGGAATAAAAGAGGACGGGGAAGGAGATGTAGAGGAGGAGGATGAAGTAAGAAGCAGCAGCAGAAAGAGGAGAAGGAGAATATGGGGAGGGGTGAGGGAATATAAGCTGAAGGAAGAGGATGAGAAGAAGTAGATGGAGAAGGATGAGAAGAAGTAGATGGAGGAGGATGAGAAGAAGTAGATGGAGAAGGATGAGAAGAAGTAGATGGAGGGGGATGACAAGAAGTAGATGGAGGGGGATGACAAGAAGTAGATGGAGAAGGATGAGAAGAAGTAGATGGAGGAGGATGACAAGAAGTAGATGGAGGGAGATGAGAAGAAGTAGATGGAGAAGGATGAGAAGAAGTAGATGGAGAAGGATGAGAAGAAGTAGATGGAGAAGGATGAGAAGAAGTAGATGGAGGGGGATGAGAAGAAGTAGATGGAGAAGGATGAGAAGAAGTAGATGGAGGGGGATGAGAAGAAGTAGATGGAGAAGGATGAGAAGAAGCAGATGGAGGAGGATGACAAGAAGTAGATAGAGAAGGATGAGAAGAAGTAGATGGAGGGGGATGACAAGAAGTAGATGGAGGGGGATGACAAGAATTAGATGGAGGGGGATGACAAGAAGTAGATGGAGGAGGATGACAAGAAGTAGATGGAGGGGAATGACAAGAAGTAGATGGAGGGGGATGAGAAGAAGTAGATGGAGGGGGATGACAAGAAGTAGATGGAGAAGGATGAGAAGAAGTAGATGGAGGGGGATGACAAGAAGTAGATGGAGGGGGATGACAAGAAGTAGATGGAAGGGGATGACAAGAAGTAGATGGAGGGGGATGAGAAGAAGTAGATGGAGACGGATGAGAAGAAGTAGATGGAGAAGGATGAGAAGAAGTAGATGGAGAAGGATGAGAAGAAGTAGATGGAGGGGGATGAGAAGAAGTAGATGGAGAAGGATGAGAAGAAGTAGATGGAGGGGGATGAGAAGAAGTAGATGGAGAAGGATGAGAAGAAGCAGATGGAGGAGGATGACAAGAAGTAGATGGAGGGGGATGACAAGAAGTAGATGGAGGGGGATGACAAGAAGTAGATGGAGGGGGATGACAAGAAGTAGATGGAGGGGGGTGACAAGAAGTAGATGGAGGGGGATGACAAGAAGTAGATGGAGGGGGATGAGAAGAAGTAGATGGAGGGGGATGACAAGAAGTAGATGGAGGGGGATGACAAGAAGTAGATGGAGAAGGATGAGAAGAAGTAGATGGAGGAGGATGAAAAGAAGCAGATGGAGGAGGCTGACAAGAAGTAGATGGAGGAGGATGACAAGAAGTAGATGGAGGGGGATGACAAGAAGTAGATGGAGGGGGATGAGAAGTAGAAGATGGAAGAGGATGAGAAGAAGCAGATGGAGGAGGATGAGAAGACGCAGAAACAGAAGGAAAACGCAGAGGAGAAGGAGCCACAGATAACAATATGATTCAATGAGGCATATTTATAACCCACCCCCACCCTAACATTACCTGGTATATAGTTTGTCACTGTACATGTTTGATTTATTTTCCGCGCCCCTGTGTTTCGTTTTGTTTATTTCACCACTCAAGGTTACGTAAGTACTTTTTAATAATATAAGTTGTTAAAAATTTGTTTCCCTTTATATACTTTTGTGTCTAACCTGTGTTCTACTCTTCCCAAATGCCTTCTCACGCCTCAGTCATGACTAACCTGCGTTCTTTTATCACTATTGCTTTCAGTCTGATGCCCGCTGAGTTGTCTCTGACTGCTAAAAATCTCGCTTTCACCACGTTTAGCGTTACATCTCATTGTAATTTTCTACAACGATGTTTACGTTTAAAAATTATCCCGAAAGGTTTCGCCACCAAATTCCATCCTTCAGTAGGCCCGCCATCCTTGAACTACAGCCAACCATTGGCCAGAATCGAGGAGAAATGCGCTTATCTTCGCATGCGTTGCATACTAGATGCACACGAACGCCACCTCCAACAACTGGGCGACCAGATTGATATTCTGGCCTACAATCTACGTAGGCTCTTAACCAACAACAGGTTGGCCTATTTGATCATCCGCTCTACTATTCACACACCAATCAGGAGTGGTATTCTTTCCTAACCAATACCAAGAAGAATAAAATGAACTGCCTCCGGCCCCACAATCCTTTGGAGCATCTGCTAATCCAGCCTTAGCCCAAAATCTTGTTGTTTGCATCCCACCTGACCTACCCCTCTCCGATGATAAACGCTCACTCCTTAGTAAAGGCTTGAAATTTGTCCCTCTAAGACCACATGCTGACAAATACACGCTCCTCCAGGATGCACACTCCTTCTATCGCCGTCTACGCCTGAAACATCATCACTGGGGTCAACCACCCGCCCCCACTGGGCCTATTGACGAAACTACATTTCTTTCAACGGCCGGGCAAGTTTCCGGAGGTGTATAGGAGATACATAGATGATGGCGTTGGTATCACCGAAATGTCCATGGTTGAGCTTGACCAATTTATTACTTACATCAACAATTTCAATCCGGCTATCAAATTCACCTCACTGATCTCCACCACTTCAGTTAACTTTCTTGACATCACGATTAGCATCGATTTTCCGTGTCTGAAAACCACAGCCTACTACAAACCCACGGATTCTCACAGTTATCTCCTCTATACGACTTCTCATCCACTACCGTGTAAAAATTCTATTCCATATTCACAGCTCCTTCGATTGCGCAGGTTGTGCTCTGGCGATTCTGACTTCTTTGATAAATCAGTTGAAGTCCTTGAATTCTTCCGTGCCCGTTTCTATCCGGAACACATTCTACAAGGGGCTCTAAACAAAGTTTTAGCAATCACCAGGAGAGATGCTTTTCCTACCAAACGTAACTCCACCAATGATGGACCTAAACTGATCTTGACTTTTCACCCTAACAATGTGGTTGCTTCCAAAGTATTCTTTCGTCATTTGGACATCCTCCGCTCTGATCCGGACACCAAGATTATCTTTAGTGAGAAACCTAGATTAGTTTACAGTCGAGATCGCAACCTTAAAGACATACTTGTCCGAATCCGACTCTCACCGATCCACACAGCACTTCCTTTTGGGACTACTCAGTGCTCACGTAGCACCTGCAAGACATGTCCTTTCGTTGTCCAGACTTCTTAGGTCAGTTTCCCTAATGGTTCTTTTCAAATTAGGGAACCTTTTACTTGCGAATCCCGCAACGAAATTTATGCAATTATCTGCAAACGATGCAGCAAGGCATACATTGGGGAGACTGGCAGGAAGCTAGCTGATCGTTTCCGGGAACACCTCTCCGATATCGACAATAGCCCAAGACCACACGGTAAAACCAATCCCTCTTTCATTTAAAATCTAGCCCTGACCGAACGGTAAAGATGCCTCGCTCTGAAACATCGCATATCCACAATCTTGGCTCTTAGGCGAGGTATCATACTACCCTTCATCTAAATTGTTCTAATCTCGCATTTTAAATGTTAATTATTTAAATCATATTATGTTGCCTTATCCACAGCCATGGCTTTCTTGGCCCAAGTCCATGTAGAGGAATTATCAATATCCAACATACTTTTCATCTAAAGGTGTTCTAATCTTCTGGTCACATTAGTAGCGTTCTTAATTATCTAATTTTATTTCATATTATTACCTTATTCTATTTCTTATCAGTATCATTTATGTATCATTAACACTTGCATTTCTTTTATTCCCAGTATTGTGACTATATTTTTTAGCCATCGGTTTATTTTATTTTATTTCATTTATTCCGCATCACATTTTTTTAAACGTCGCTCACGTCACCCCTTAGAGATCTACATACTCTCCATTCCTCGTTTGTGTCTTTCACTTGTGTTTGAAAAAGGCTGCCCGGCCGAAACGTTACATTGTATTGTTTTGTGCACATTTTTCCTCTTTCCCATTTTGTTGAGCTTTTTAGTCAAATTTCTCTGGAATTCTTTATATAGTACCCTGCAGATGCATGCATTAATTCCTAGAATTTGTAAACCAAATCTATCTCGAACTTAGGAAACAAAGATGCTGAGCCAAATTTAGTAAAGAACACTTACACCTCAACATGTTTCCACAGTATAGCTGGACAAGAATCTACACAAATGGATCAGCTAAAGTGGCAATTACAAATGGAGCAGGTGACAGGTTTACATTAAACACCCAGATGCCAATACTGTGTCCCTAGCAGCCCCCACAGGAGAAACTTGCTCTAGCTACAAGGCAGAGCTCTCAGCCCTACTGATAGCAGCACAGTATATGAACAAGCGAACCCCTGCAGGCAAAATGGTTTTTTCCACAGACTCGTTGTCAGCCATACAGGCTCTTGAGTCCAAAACTACTGGCAGCACACAACTAAGTCTAACAAAGAAACTTGCTATGTTGTCGAAAAAGGCAGAAACTCAAATGCAGTTGATTTCATCTCACTGTTGCATCAACGGCAATGAAAGAGCTGATACTTTAGCCAAGGAAGGCAGCAGCAAACCCCAAATCTACCAGCCAATATCTTTTTTCAGAAGTCATTAACAGAAAATCAGAAACTGATTGGAAAACCAAAACAGGTTACAGCCATGAAAAGCACCTGAAGAGAAGAGACCAAGTCACAGCTTTTCGCTTGCGCACTGGACAATGCAGACTCAACAAACACTAATGTAAATTAGGTATGAGCCAAACAGCTCTTTACCAGTGTCTTCGTGCTGACTCCAGAACATGTTTTGCAAGACTGTTCTCTTTTGGTGGATCTGCGGCATGTGGCAACACCCAATAAACCTAACAACTAAGGTCTGGGGAACTCTAAGAGACCCTGAGATAACATCCCAGTTTATGACCCACAGTGGATTATACGCATGACCGGAGATTGCTAAAGAAGAAAAAGAAAAAGAAGAAGAAGTAAACCAAATATTTACACTAGTAAACTATCTTGGGAACTCACCATGCTGCAACAATGCTGTCCCAATATGGGACGCAATTTTTAGTTATTTAAAGGCCCCACCCCGGTTGTAGTCAGGGGCCCTAATATAACTAACCGATGGGTTGAACAGGGTTTCTAGGACTTGTGCCCGGGTAATCCTCATCCAACTGGTGGCACTTTGGGTCACAGGGTGTTGGTCGCTCGTTCTTCAGTCCTGGCAATATCACATACATACATACATACATACTCACCATGGGATCTCTCCCTTCAGCACTTTATTGTGAGCATCCACATAATACAGATGTGGTCCTTCTGTTAGTAACAACATCCGCTTGCGTGCAAACAAACCCTACAGTCACCATTTGAAACAGAAACAAAATATAATCAGTTATCACATGCTAACTAAATTGCAACAGAAAATAAAGTTCATACTAGAGACAACACTGCAGATATAGATCATTTATTTCAAGCGAACAAAAGAAAAAGAAGTCTACATGCTAATCTGTACACCACTTAACTCTTCTTAAGCACTCGTAATGATGAGCTGAGACTGGCATGGAGTGAACAGGAAATATAGTAAAGCATTGTAAACAAAAACTGCAAAGGGCTGAATAGTTTGTGTTTTTAACAAGTCTGTGCTTCCCTGGGACTAATAACAATAATTTATTCCTGCTGAGACCAAAATTTAGTTCATCTTCTTCTTCTTTTGTCATCTCACTGATACCAGATTGTAGCCCAGGGCCCTGGTTCTTCTGTATTTGTCTTGCGCTTCTCGGGTGGCTTGGATGATGGATTTGTTCATCTTTTTGCAGGCTTCAGGAACCATTTATCAATATTTTTCTTGGTCTTCCTCTTGCCTTCCTCCCAGAAGTTCTGCTGTAAAAAGTCTCATATGCAGTTTGGCCTGGCTGCATTCTCACTACATGGCCAAACCATTTCATTCTTTGTCTCATTCTTTGTCTGTCAATATAATCCAGACATGGTCTTATTCCAACTTTCTTTCTAATGCTGGTATTAGTAACCCTGTCTCTTCTTGTGTATTTGGTGACCTTGCGGAGACAGTGCATTTCACATGTAGTTATTTTCTATTCTAGTGCCTCATTCATTGTCTATGTTTGGCACTGATAATATAAAGTAGGGACAAAGGTGCTATTAATTTTCAATATTTCTTGCGCAGTAGCAATCAAATACACACTGTTGGCTTGCTAGGCCTGTGTCGTGACAGGGCGGGGGAAAAATCTGACTTGGCTGGTGACCTTCTCCTTCCAGGCAAGCCACTGCCCCGTTAGCCTGAAACCTCGCGGCTTATTTTCCAGCGTGCACCACGAGGAGGTGGATCTGACCTGGGTTTGTTCGTGTTAACTGAGTGTTCTTAATAAGCAAGTTCACATTAATGAGGACTCGTATGTGGTATTTTTCAAGTTAGACGCAGACTTGTAACTCAAGGTCACTTTACCCTCATGTCCTTTGCCACACCTCTTTGATCTTCTAATTCAAATTTGCTCACTACTGACTGTTGACTACAAAACATGATGACATGGTGGAGAGAGAACAAGGGGAGGATACAGAAACATATCTGGATGGCTAGGCTACACAGATAGAGCAGGAAGAGCACTGACACGATCTGTGATTCAGGTGATCATGTGAGATGGCAAACCATGACCGACTACACTTACAGGCAAGGCACATTGATGATAATAGGTGATTACTGTCTCCTTATAGAAGATTCGTGTGTTAAGTGATAAATTATATACTGCCAATTTAGCTAACCTTCCTCTTGTCAACAAATCCTTGTTTAATAATCAAGTTGTCTTTTACAAATTGATGAAATGGGTTTTCTAGTCTCTGCTTTCTTAATTTTTCTGCTCTTTCTGCATCTTCTGCTTGAGTCAAAGCTTTAACTGGTACTTCTTCCAGTTCTGGAGACCTGTTGAAAATAATTACAAAGTAATCTGTAAAAAAGAAATATTTTTAAAAAAACATTACAAGGTTCTTTGATTAACACTTAGTTCCAGCATGAAAAAGCTCAAAATTCAAATGAGGGATACATCAAAATTTGTCTATACTATTTGCGCTGCACTGTCATATGGATAATGGGATTAAAACTGTTTGGAGAAAAAAAAAGGAGAGAGAATACAGCATATGTCCAGTACAAATAAGCAAGTTTTCTGCAATATTTCTTTTTCTCTTTCTCCCTGTACTTTATTGGAGTATTGGAGATGTAAGGATTGTCTGTGTGCTCTTTCTAATTCTTTGTATAAGTTGATATTCATTTCTCCAAGGCTGTTTTTGAGGCCATCGTTCCATTTTTGCATTGTATTCTCCTTGCTCTGTGTTCATAATATTTCTTCAGCATAGTTTTCGGTGATAGTATCAAGACATTCTTTTCTGATGGCCAAACCATCTTATCTGTTGCTCTTTAATGAACTGTATGGCTGGATTCAGTCTTGATCTTCTAAATTTTTTAGTTTTAATTCCCTCATGCCTCCTCATATATAATACTATCACTTCCAATGAAGTCTTTTTATTTTCCAGTTTACAGTGAGTAAAATTCAAGATGCTAGCCCATTTTTCGTAAAATCCCTGGGGTTTTCCGGGTCTTGAGCCCTAATGTGCCATTCCCGGGTTTTGCCAAGTTTCAAGGTCCATTGCAACCCCTACTCCCAAAAGCACAATATATAAGTATCCTCTCAAGAGATGGAAAGGTGTAAACTGTGCTTCCAGACGTGATTAAAATGCAAAATTTCATTAAAAAGACACACATCATTAAAATGCTCTGAAACTCCATGTTACGAAACTAGAGGGAGAAGAAGAAGAAATTTGAATCCTGGGCAGTTTCTATAAACATATAAAGTAATTGAACTCCTTAACCACTGAGCAGACAGGAAAGTATGTACTCCCCAGCTACATCGTAGCCATTAAACCACTGAAGTATTTTGTATCAATTTTTTTCCATGAAACAATTTTTTTTAAGTCAGAGATTTAATCACTAATTACAAATGGAGCAAAAAATAACTTTTCTTCTCTTTGGGATTTTATTAACTTAGCCACAGAAAGCAACATGGCGTCATATCAGATTGTTATGATTTAACCATGACATCAGTTGTTTTAATGCAGTTTTTTTTAAAAACCCTAATAATATAACAAAGGGATTCGCCGTGGCGCTAGCGGCTAGACGCCCCCCGTGGATCAGAAGGTCGTAGGTTCACGTTCTGACGCAGCCAGACTTTTTTTTTCCCCAAAAAGACCTTGTCTTCCAGGTTGACCCAGGCTTGAGTGGGTACCAGGTGCAGTCCTGGGAAGTAAAGGTGGCTGGCATGACATCACCACCTAATTGGTCTGTAAAAATATAGATTTAACCTTATATGCCTAGTATGCCTAAGGGCGTGGAAAATGGACCTTTTAATAGCAAAACAAAAATGTTTTGAGGGTACATGCAGTCAAGCCTCCCCATGTCCACAAAAACTGTTATACAGACATAGTGACCACTGCACAAAGGCTGATGTCATCAAAAACCCATACATGTCAGGAAAATGACTTTCTTAGGGTGACAGGCTTAATGATGCTAAATTATTTACTTGTTTATATTTATAAAAAAATAAAGGCAGATCCATGAAAACATATGAGGTGGGTGGCCAGTTATTTTCCTCATCCTCTTTCTCTCAATCATCGATTATAAAAGTAAATCTGTGCAGAAAGTGTCAATCAAAACATCTGAATGTAAAATACATGATTTTCTTATTTCCACCATAAAACTTACATTGAGCCGTCTGCACACTGTCCTGTGATAATCTCTGCAAACCGCTGGTCATCAAAACCAGTCTGAAAAAGAGAGGACAGTAAATTAAAATTATACATTATTTTAATACAACTGGGCATTTTATTATATCAAAGTGTTTTATTAGTTTTAATTTAGAAGGAAACAAGCAAAAAAGGCTTTGCCCACAATCAAGCATAAAGGACAAAAATGCTTTTATAGACAAATTAGCACTCATGTTATGAAGTTATCTAACACCAGACACATCTACTTTCCTGAACATTTCCTGGTACTATTTTAAGGCTGGGTCAACCCAAAACCTCAGGATAATAATTATAATTTGTCTTCGATGTACATTAAAACCAAAAGCCTCCAGGCCAACAGCACTAGCCACTTTGCCACCGAGGCCTCCTTTTTCATTTAGTATTCTCATAAAAGCAAATTCATTTCCACCCTATGCTAGCAGTGTCAGACTTGGTCATTCGCAAGCCATAAAAGAAAATTAGTAACCATGGAAATTAGATGTCTGAGAATGGGATGCAGGATGGACCAGAAGAGATAAAATAAGAAATGAGGTCATTACAGAAAAAGTCCGCATAGAGCCAAGTCTAAATTACACACAAAAACAATAAAAAAATGTTTGTGCATTTAAAGAAAATGCTTTGAGATGTCATACAATACAAGGCACACACCAAAGGAGAAGAATGACATAGAGCACAAGACAGACCAGAGCTATTCAAGTAAGTTTACTCAGTGGCTAAAATGTTGGAAATGGGGATCATCATAGCCAGAGGTCAGACCCATGCACTGAAAGGTCGTTAATACAATACAAATGGCAATTTTCTGCGAGCCAACTGCAGGGCCACCGTGGTCCACACGCCGCCAAGTTGAAAAGTCCTGAGGTAGATCAAGAACAAGATGGAAAAAATAACAGAGAAACTCGTTAACAGCATGATGTGTCTATGGTCAAGGTGGCTAGAAGAGCAAGAAGCAAAACATTATATTTCCCTCTGCACCTAACGTGGTAAAAGAGAAGGTGAAGAAAAAGAATAATTATACCTTTTACTATGGGGAAACTAGTAAAATCCCTTATGAAGCATGTTAAGCATATGTTTAAACTAGGTTAATTCTTTATCGGAGAAGGGGCCGGCCGAGTAGTTAGAGCGCATGTGTCTCATATGCAGAGCCTAGGTTCAATCATCAGTAATAGATGGAGATTTGTTTCTGTCAAAGGTAACTCACATCGGGAAGAAAGGCCAGAGGAAGACCCAGGAAAAAATGGATAGATGGAGTAGCTGAATACGGCCAGAAGATCCAGAAAACTGTCACTCAAATCACACGAGAGGCACAAAACAAATATTTTAAACCACAACACTGGGCTGCAACCCGGTAAAAGTGAAGAAGACAATAGATACATAGAAAGGTAACTCAAAAATCTTAATTTGCAGTTTATGGTGACTGCATTAGCCATGCCGTCAAGTCCTGAATGGCGTCTTTGTCCTACACTGCCCTAAAAGTGGTAAATACAGAAGGTGAAGACAACTTTTCTTTTCATTCTTTATATTCTGCCCCATATTCTTCACCAAAGCATAAGTCCTCACCCAACTTACATCAAGTCTTGGTCATTTCCTAAAATTCCATTAATGTCCTCTCTATTATTCCTCTGTCTTTAATTCTCACTTATATAGTTTTAAAGTCTCTCTTTAACTCTTTAGCCTTGAAGGCTTAGGTAAAAATAACATTCTGATTATATTATTATCGGGTTTTCCTTAATGTGCCTTATACAGTACCAGCGTCTTTTCCTTCCCTCTTGATCTGCTGGAATTTTTTTTTATAGTTCACTCCTTAACCATTTCCCTCAGAAACCTTTCAACAAAGAAAAAAAAAAATGCTCAACAGGGAAAGGGTGGGATGTGGGAATTATAACATCATCAAAGGTACACAGCAGAACAGCAACTCAAAATACAGGAGAGGCAGACCATGCGAAAATGAAACACAAGAATAACAGTCCCAGGAAACCCCCTTTAGTTGTGTATTCATGACCATGCCTAATTGTGTCAATCAAATAAATTAAAGTAAATACATTAAAAATAAGATTGAGAAAACAACTGTCTTCTTCTTCTTCTTCTCTTCCAACTTGTACCTCATTGAAATGTCGGGGGGAGATGTAACATTAGTTAGAGCACTATTAAGACTGATATTCATTTCTGTAAGGTTGTTTTTAATGCCATCACTACATATTTTCCAAAGTCTTCCACTCGCTCTATACCCACTGTAACATTTTAGTGTCGCTCGCTGTGGCAGATAATACCAGGGCATTCTTGTTAGGTGTCCAAACCACTTCATTTGTTGTGCTTTGATGACGTGTAAGACTGGCTTTATTCCTAGCATTCTTTTGATTTTATGATTTCGTATTCTGTCTGTACATTTTCTAAATCAACTGAATTTATAGTTCCGACCGACGGTGCAAAATGAATACTTGGGTGGACAACACTTTGAGAAACCAAACAGATTAAACTAAAGTAAAAACAGAAACCAACAGATTTTTTAAAAATTCTGTCACAATGAAAATAATGTAACCTGGTCAGTGGTTAAATCAAAACAGATAATAACGTAATAACTGAAACAAACAAAATAATAATAAATTATATTTCAATCGCTTCAAAATCTTCATACAAAAGCAAATGAATATTTGAAATTAAACAGCAAAAAAGAGCAACGGTCTAAGCTAACTGTTAATCAACTTTATTTTTCTTACTTCACATATTAAATTTCAACAGTACAAAATAACTAGACTTGCACAAAATAAGTTAAAAACCACAATTTCATTTCAGTTTAGAAAATTCTGAAACACTCCCAAAAGTGGCCAAAAACGTTAAAGCACTCACTAACATTATCATCATTGCAGTGTGAATTATTTCTACAGCTAAATTTATATTTACGTATATTTCTGCATCCGATTTTTAGCGACAACAACAACAACAAGTCAATGCACTTATGTTGAATGTTGAATTGAGAATCGACATCACAGCAATCTGACACTCCCATTAACGCTCCATCCCCCATCTTTAGCAGCAAGCAAAGAGATCCAATTACGATGGCACCAGTAACTGTTTGACTGAACATCCGTTCCGCCTTTCCCCTGAGTGTTGAGCGTTGGCAGATCACCTGGTAACTCCTTGCAGCACCATTCTCCTCACACCATAATGATGTATTTGTGCCTTTGCACTGTTCATTCGCTCCCAAAGGGATCTAGCTTGTCATATATCAATTCACCCCCAAAGTGGTGCAGCCCACTATCTGGCAGTCTCTATTTGACTGCCTGTTTCCCACTACACTGGCATGACCTGGAGAAAATATCCAAAGGATGATAACTACCCGGACATATAAAGCGATGCTTGCCACTCTGCATGCAGCATGCCTGTCTCCACCTTTATCAACATGCTAAGTCAGTTGTAAATGCACTTAATAAGTTATGAATTATTTCCAAAACTAATTCTATATTTGATTATACTTTTATAGAAAGCAATTAGTTAACAAGTTATGAATAATTGTTAAATCTAATTCTATATTTATATATACTTTTGCAGCAAGTAAAAAAATTGTCCAATACAGGATAAACAAGAATAAAGAAGAAATCATTCAATCGTTCCTCTTGTGAACAGGGTGTGACCAGAGGGTTCGGTTGGCACACTACGCTCAGAGGAAAGGCAAGATGGACATACGACCAGCACCATTAGTATTCGAACTCTGCGCTGGCTGCTGAGCGCGTATGCTAATGCCCAGAGTGCTGTGATGTCAATTGATGTCAATTTTTGACTCAACTCAACTATTGTTAACAGGGTTGTACTTCAGCTATTTGGCGCCTATGGCCCAAGGGTCAGATGTTTTTTTTAAAATTTGCATTAGACACTGCTCTATTGTGGGCTAATTTGAAAGACTTTGCAGTGCACAATTAGGTAGCCTGTTTAATGCTTTTTTTTTTCCCCGGCTCTCAAGCGTAGTTGGCTAAACCGGATTGCACGGAGACCGGGTGACGAACTCCTTGTGGTCCGGGTTCGATCCCGGGGGTAGGCAGGAAAGCCACATTTTCTCCCAGATTTACGGTATTTACAAGGGAATCAAGGCCGAAAGGTTGCGATATCCATAATACCGAGCCTAAGGGTTAACAACTCATGGCTTCTGGATACTAAAACAAACAAACAATGCCGTTTTTTTAAAAAGTAAAATTCAAAGGATGGAAAAATACACTTGGTGTATACTGTTAAATTTTGTGTAATTTACGCAGTGCAAATTCAGATATCAGAAGGCTAATACTGAAAATTTCATTGTGGTTCCTTTAGATGATGTGCTGTCACTTCAAAAAAAAAAACACAGAGTTGTTTGACCTTCCCCCCCCCCCCCCCCCCCCCCCCCCCCCCCCACTTTTTCTCTCTTTTTTTTCTCTCTTTAAATATTAAGTGGCGACCAAGGCAACTGCCCTACCCTAGGTATGCCACTGCTTGTCTATATTACTGGATGAGTCAGAAATCTTCAGTCAATATCTAAACCCATTAAAACCATTACCACCATTTTCATTATTTTATTTCAGAAGCTCCTATTCAATAAGAAAATTAGAACATGCACTCAAATTAAACTAGTAGTGGGGTTAGATATGATCATCTAAATTGAAGCCCACCCTCTGTTCCTGTCCCCAGAACTCTGGGTTGTGGGCTGTGGCAGGCAGGTATGGCATCAGTTTAGGTGGGGTGCTGTCTGGGAGGGTTTCCCAGTCGATTCCCTCATAAAACTTGTGGTTTTTTAAAGCTTTCATCCCCTCTGGTTTGGCCATGCCAAGGCGTAAAGCTGGGTCCACAACCTGCACAATACAGTGACAAGAATTTCAAGATATATATAAATAATACAGTTGACAACAAAATAAAAGTGAAAACAGAGCATAAGACTCCTTTCACAATACTGGCACATCTTCTCAACTTACACTCTATGTGACTTATGACCATGTGTACTTACAACCACACACACAAATAAGTCAATACAAATAGTCAATAAAGACTACATTGGTAGTTCAAAAAGGTTCTTGGAATTGATACCTAGAGTGCAGCAGGGTCTAATTTTACATACACAGATTGCATTTCTGTATTCTGATATACAATGTTTTTTTATAACCTGTTATGAAAATGAAAATGTTGAAAAAAAAAAGTTTAACTTATGACCAGTCTGACCTGTGATCTATTAGAAAGGAACTTGGCCGTTAAGTCAGACACATAATGTTTTGTAAAGACCAACTGGCACTCGACGGGTGATGTAGTCAACATCCTTCAGGCTGCCTTCACTTTCTAAGGACATTTCCTAGTACCAGTTTAAGACTAGATCAACCTTTGAGCCAAATTATTGAAATCTATCTTGATGCGAAATCGAACACAAGAACTTCAACAACAAATACCCATGGCTAATTCTTACACAAACAAAAAGGAGAAAACCGAAATTTTAAAAAGTCATAAATTAGGTCATAAAAGAAAATGGCATAGAACCAATTCTAAATTACATATAAAGAGAGCAAATCAAATGTCTGGCCCACTTAGAGAGAATGCTTTGTGATACCATACCATACAAGGCATACATCAAAGAGGAGAAGGATGTAGATAGAAAGATCTTCTTTTTTGTTTACCCACCAGCTGTAAGCTCCAGCAAAAAGCCAGGTTGTTCGTCCATATGGACCATGGTTTTGTACCAGGGCCTGAGTTTTGCATGTACCTCCATTTTACTGGCTTACTCGTGTGCAGCTGGTTGTTCCTTGCCTCGCAGGCAGATGAACTCTGACTTCCAAGGAAGCTCCCAATTAGTCAACATCTACAACATGCTTGTTGGGGAGGCTGTAAGTCCATTCTTATTTTCCCAACAATGGGGCCCCAAAACCCACACTGGGAAGATGAAAAGATAACATCAGAGAAACTCTACAATAGCATGATGTGTCTATGGGAGAAGTAGAACATCATATCTCCCTCAACACCCGAAGCAGTAAAAGAGAAAGTGAAGAAGAAGAGAAAATCATCACATAACAGGTCCATCGCAGAACTTTGTTCTTACCAAGTCAGGTTAAAAATTCTCTCTCAAGATTCCCAATTTGTTAACTTCATGCCCAGGTGATTCTTACCGTTACCCCATCAGAATTCTAACATTAACAACAGGGAAAAAGGATGTCACAATGATTTTCAAATAGCCATTCTGTTCAAAATAAAAACAATCGTATGTTTCAGAGATGGAGCGTAAACAAGTGTGATAAATACTAAGGATGTTGTGTTTACGTAAATTTCTTGTAATACAGTTTTTAGGATAAAGCTACATCAGGTTCAGCAAACTGGTAGTGGATTTAAATTAGGGCTGTACTAAATAGTGATTTTTACTATTCGGGAGAATACAAATAGTGTATAGTGTATAAAATATATCTAAAAAAAAACAACAACAAAAAACATTCATAATGTCAAATGTACGCTGAACCTTTACTTCACATAAAGTAGCACAGAACATTAATCTTCTTCTTTAGCATTCTAGGCCCTTGAGGTTTACTGCTGCAGATATCACTCGTCTCTATTCATCTCTCTGGCTGGCCTTCTTTTCACAATTTGTGACACCAGTTGTTTGCAGGTCTGACTGGACATTATCTCTCGAACTTCGGTTTTGTCTGCCTCGTGGTCTACGCCCATTCCTCTCTCAGGTGTTTACAGTTTTACTTCTCTGTCACCTGAAATTCTTAAAATATGCCCCAACCATTATAGTCTTTTAGCTCTCATGATGCCAGTGATCAATGGTGATTTAAACAGATTATGTGTTACGTTGTTGCTTCTCACTCTCCATTCCCCGCTGTTAGCATCTCTGATGGGTCCAAAGATTTGTCGTAAGACTCTGTTTTCGAAAACCTGTAAGCTTCATCTCTTTTATTTCTGCTTCAAGTTTCACAGCCACATAAAATGACTGGTCTTATCAACGTTTTAAATATTTTGATCTTGGTGTTGCGAGACAGTCACTTTGACTTTAACAGATGTTGAAGGGCATAGTATACTTTATTTCTAGATTGTATTCTAGATTTTATTTCTTCTCTCAGCATGTTGGAGCAGTTGAAGTTTGCACCCAAGTACTTATAAGTTTCCGTTTGTTTGATTTTCATATTATCGACTTGGATGTGGCCGGAGTTTATATTCTTTCCATGTCTAGTTAGTATTCGTACAGAATAGTGAAAATTTGAAAACATTTTAAATTTGTATCCTTCAGTCAGTCTCTGGTAACTAATAACTAGGAATGAAAGAATCCTAAGTATTATAACAAGTAACTAAACTTGGAAATTGTCCCTGACAGCTTAGTTAATGCATGAAAGCTGCATTAGCTTTAAACAAAACCAATCATTCCATGTTGTCAGCATTAAGGCTGTGTATGCTGAAGTGGGTGTAAGGTAACTACTATTCGTATTCGGCCCGACCGCAACTATTCGGCCTAATACCGAATAGTCAATAGGTCCACTATTCGGCCCCGAAACGAATATTTGGTACAGCCCTAATTAAAATACCCACCAAAGCCTGCTCTAGATATCTTAGATGAGACATCATTACAATGGTGGGAACAAGATCTGTAATTAGATGTACTGAAAAACAAAGAATGGAATGGATTGGAGAGCTGGTCAGAATGAACCCAGCATCACGGGTTGCAAGAGCATACAATATGAGAATGGAAACAAACATCAAGAGGCAGAGGAAAAGCCAAGAAGAATATGGACAGATGGAGTTAACAACTTGCTGAAACTCAACAATATCACTATGCAGCAAGCTAACGAGCGCTCACTATCCTGGAAACCAGTAATTAGCCGTGTCTGCGATGCCTAACAGCATTAAGCAGAGAAAGACATCAGACAGATTCAAAAGAAAATCCCCCACATGCTATTTTTATTAAATATTTTCATATCCTGACATAATAAGTTCTGCACAAGCACAAACATGACCAATGCCATTAACCAGGTGTGTCAAAAACACATCACTGTAAAAATAGGCAGTTTTTGCTTCTCTCTTATCTGCCATTCTCTCTTATCTGCCATTCTCTCTTATCTGCCATTCTCTCTTATCTGCCATTCTCTCTTATCTGCCATTCTCTCTTATCTGCCATTCTCTCTTATCTGCCATTCTCTCTTATCTGCCATTCTCTCTATATGCCCACCCAATGCAGTCTGTACATCCTAATGATGCCAGTAATTAGTAATGTAAATAGACTGTGAAGTTCGTGGTTGTTTCTCGTTTTCTACTCTCTGCTGTTGGCATCAGTATAATATTTGGAGAAAAAGTATCTTTACTGCCTACATTTACTAATTATTTTTTTGGGATGGTGTTGGACGTAGCGATCTTGAATCTTAGGTTTCAAAAGTTCCATGGCTAAGGCAATCACCATGAACTGTGTAGGTTAGGATTTTTACTTTACTCCCAAAAAGGTACAAGTAATGTTCTGGTCTGCAGAAAGAGTGACTTCCCTTCCCATTCATGCCTCGTCGAGTCGTAATCTTTCCTATGTTGCGGGAGTGTCATGTATTCCTTATTGTCAATGCTTTAACCATTCTCTCTTTTCTCATTATGTCACCGCTCACTTGCATGATTATTTTCACATTCTGCTACTTGCGTGACAGTTTGGGTGTATGGAAACTGCATTGTTTTGCTATTTCTATGTTCCTTGTCAGTGACTTCTTTTTTTAGGAAGGCTGGGGGCCACCGCCAACGAACACAGAAATACAAAAACATCCGGTTTCAATATTCATGAGCCGTCCCACCTGTGGTTCTTCCCCCTGCAATACTTCTTACTTGTACAGAGGCTCACAACAACACAACCTCTATTTAACATTATATATGTCGAGCGAACGCCGAACAAAGCCATATCATAACACCCCTGCAACATAGGAAAGGTTGTGCAACCCGACAAGGCATGAATGGGACGAGAAGTCTCACCCTCTTTTTGCGGACCAGGTCTTCTGAATGAGAGTCCAGTGTTCTAACCACTCTGCTACTTCTTTTCTTATAATATACTGCTAAAAAATGAATTGTCATCAATCACAACATGCAAACAAATAGAGAATAAACTCAAATAACAATGACTACAAAGCTCAACAATGGACTGGGGGAATGCACAGAAACAGCTGAAAGTTTTCAGCGAATTATACTGCAGTCACCCTTTTTTTTTTTTTTCAAACAAAAGAGAGACCACTCAATCTTACCAAGAGTTTCTGCACCAAATCTTTAGCATCGGGATTAAATCCTTCAGGAAATTCGTATTCTGCTTTCACAATCTTTTGGAAAGTCTGGTATTCATTTCTGTCAACAGATCACATAAATACAGATAAAACACACAGTAACATTATCGCTTCTGCTACTAGAAAAAAATTTTTTTTTTTTTTTTTTTTTTTTTTTTTAAAGTACATAATTTTTTCATGCCCCTAGGCATATTGGGTTTATAGCGCTAGATCTTAATTTTATAGATTGTTTTTCGTCCAAAACGAGTGATGAAGACCACTTTCATCCAAAGTAGTAATGATCAATGATTATGAGCACGAAGGTGGCTGATTAGTCCAATATAAGCCTTAAAGTTCTTGAGCAGTGCAGACAACAGGTGGAAGCTGCAGTAAATGTGGGATTAGCAGTACGGTTCTTTCTAGTCTGCCTCCGTTTCTCTGCCTGTGCAACCTCCGCTGCCTGGCAGGCCAATGCACCATGCCTGAGGGATGTACGCCATCCAGAACGGTCTTGAGCAGCAGCCTTTCACCTCACTGTGTTGATGCCAAAAGAATTGAGAGCAGTCTTCAGAGTGTCCGTATAGCGCATTTTCTGTCCTCCCTGGGACCTCTTCCCTTGCTGGAGCTTACCATAAAATACTTTGTTTGGGAGGCGATAGTTCTGGCATGCGAGCTAGGTGACCAGTCCAACGCAGCTGACAATTCTTCAGTATTGTATGAATGCTAGGCAGGTTCGCTGCATCAAGAACCACAGTATTTGGGATCTTATCTTGCCATTTGATTTTGAGCAGGTTATATGAAACTTATTCAATGTTTTAGCATGGTGCTGATACACAGTCCATGTTTCACAAGCCTAGAGCAGTACTGGAAGAATTACAGCTTTGTAAACCTTTAGCTTAGTCAGCAGGGAGATACCACTTCTGTTCTAGACACTGGTATAAAGTCTGCCCAAACTGCTGCTGGTCTTTGAGATTCTTACATTGATCTCATAATTTTATAAATTAATCAGCACTCATTAATGCTGGCATCATTGGGGGATGTTGTCACTCATTAATGCTGGCATCATTGGGGGATGTGGTCACTCATTAATGCTGGCATCATTGGGGGATGTGGTCACTCATTAATGCTGGCATCATTGGGGGATGTGGTCACTCATTAATGCTGGCATCATTGGGGGATGTGGTCACTCATTAATGCTGGCATCATTGGGGGATGTGGTCACTCATTAATGCTGGCATCATTGGGGGGATGTGGTCACTCATTAATGCTGGCATCATTGGGGGATGTGGTCACTCATTAATGCTGGCATCATTGGGGGATGTGGTCACTCATTAATGCTGGCATCATTGGGGGATGTGGTCACTCATTAATGCTGGCATCATTGGGGGATGTGGTCACTCATTAATGCTGGCATCACTGGGGGATGTGGTCACTCATTAATGCTGGCATCATTGGGGGATGTGGTCACTCATTAATGCTGGCATCATTGGGGGGATGTGGTCACTCATTAATGCTGGCATCATTGGGGGATGTGGTCACTCATTAATGCTGGCATCATGGGGGGATGTGGTCAATCATTAATGCTGGCATCACTGGGGGATGTGGTCACTCATTAATGCTGGCATCATTGGGGGATGTGGTCACTCATTAATGCTGGCATCATTGGGGGATGTGGTCACTCATTAATGCTGGCATCATGGGGGGATGTGGTCACTCATTAATGCTGGCATCATTGGGGGATGTGGTCACTCATTAATGCTGGCATCATTGGGGGATGTGGTCACTCATTAATGCTGGCATCACCGGGGGATGTGGTCACTCATTAATGCTGGCATCACTGGGGGATGTGGTCACTCATTAATGCTGGCATCATTGGGGGATGTGGTCACTCATTAATGCTGGCATCATTGGGGGATGTGGTCACTCATTAATGCTGGCATCACTGGGGGGATGTGGTCACTCATTAATGCTGTCATCATTGGGGGATGTGGTCACTCATTAATGCTGGCATCATTGGGGGATGTGGTCACTCATTAATGCTGTCATCATTGGGGGATGTGGTCACTCATTAATGCTGACATCATTGGGGGATGTGGTCACTCATTAATGCTGGCATCATTGGGGGATGTGGTCACTCATTAATGCTGGCATCATTGGGGGATGTGGTCACTCATTAATGCTGACATCATTGGGGGATGTGGTCACTCATTAATGCTGGCATCATTGGGGGATGTGGTCAATCATTAATGCTGGCATCATTGGGGGATGTGGTCACTCATTAATGCTGGCATCATTGGGAGGCTGTGGTCACTCATTAATGCTGGCATCATTGGGGGATGTGGTCACTCATTAATGCTGGCATCATTGGGGGATGTGGTCACTCATTAATGCTGACATCATTGGGGATGTGGTCACTCATTAATGCTGACATCATTGGGGGATGTGGTCACTCATTAATGCTGGCATCATTGGGGGATGTGGTCAATCATTAATGCTGGCATCATTGGGGGATGTGGTCACTCATTAATGCCTGCATCAATGGGAGGATGTGGTCACTCATTAATGCTGGCATCATTGGGGGATGTGGTCACTCATTAATGCTGGTATCATTGGGAGGATGTGGTCACTCATTAATGCTGGCATCATTGGGAGGATGTGGTCACTCATTAATGCTGGCCTCATTGGGGGATGTGGTCAACAGCATGCTGGCTGTCTTTACTTTCTAGGAATGTACTTGGTACCAATTTTAAGCTAAGTCAACCAGTCAGCCAAGGTGATTTAGGAACAAAATGGGACTCAATGCGGATTTAGAATCCACAACCTTCAGGCACGCCTGCTTTTTACAGTACAGTCATAATATCTCTGAAGTGAATTATGGGGCCACTATTTTAGGCAGAAACAAGAATAGACTCACCCCCTGCACAAAGACTGCTGTGAAAGCCGACTAACTAAAAAAAAGGTTTGCTGAAATCAGCTGTGTCGATCCAAAAGGTGAAGAAGATACAGTCTAGATGTAAACCACAACATAAGGTGTCAAACACTCTTTTAAGGAAAAACACAGAAGAGGAGGAAAAACCGACAGCAGCAGAAAGTTCTGGTTGACTGTCCACTTTTGGACTTTAGTCTTGTTTCAAAAACTGAACTTTGCCTGTACATCCATTTACAGATCTGGTATGCAGACTGTCGATTCCTTGTCTCTCAGGCAGATGCACTCCAATTTTGAAAGAAACATCCCTAATTAATCGAATATGAAATACATGTTAAGAAAAATTAGGTCAATTACCACCCCCCCCCCCCTACCCCCTACAATGGGCCCCTGGAAGCCACATGGCAAGATAAAAATTGTAAATAACTAAGAAACATAAGAGCGACATAACAGGCACAGATACAAAAATTATACATTTAAACAAGAAATTCTTTCATGAAAGTCAAGAAACAGAAAATATATTTACTAATTAAGGGAAAAATATGAACAGACAGACATTCACTGTTAAAAAACAATAAACTCCGACTATCCACCATCAAATGTAACCCAAAAGGGTTGAACGAAACAAGGTTTAAAACATATTGCTGAAATTGACAAGCATGTTGCTGTAATTGACAAGCTTACCCAGATCGAAACGGCAAAGACCCAGAAAGACACTGATAAATGATACATCCCAGCGCCCACAAGTCAGAGCTGAAAATTAAAAGTTTCATGAGTAAACTTATTCTATAAAAGAGAGAGACATCTCCTAATTTAATCAGCCATAATTTCTTCGCATTAATATATTTCTGTGAGACTAAGCACCGCCAGCATCATCATCAAGTGTTATGTCAAGTGTAACCATACCTCTTTACAACCCTTGCTCTTATGTAAATTAAAGGACCCTTTTTATGCCAGTGACGCATTGGGCATATGATGCTACACATTTTCTATTGACCAATCAGCACTTGGTGGGTAATGTGAACATCACTCCAGTCACTTGTACTTAACAGGACATTACCTAGTGCCTATTTTGAGCTTTGCCCATAATATAAATACATGCTGATTATAAAATCTGTGCCATTTCCACAAAGAAGGTTGTCTGCCATGGATATATGAATCCACTGATCTATATGGGAATATTGACATGACGAGAACCCTGATCTCTCCCATGGTACAACCCAAAGCTTTCTTCTTATTATTTTTGTGTGTGGTCCATATTCTGCTGACGGTAGGGGTATCAGGTTAGCATATGATCGGTATCCACACTAGGCGTGTTTGGTGGCCCGGTATGCTGTAATGTTGTAGAGTTTCAAGATATCAATGACTCATTCAGTCCATCTTCTTCTTGGTCCTTACCTATTCCTGGGGTATTCAATTTTCATGTTCTACGCTCTCATTGCTGGCATCATTGGATTTATTATTATTAAATGGCCAAACAATTTCAGTCTTTGTTTTTTGATGAATTTCATTATAGGTATTCCTGTGATAGTTATTGTCATTTCTTTGTTTCTCACATGATTGACAGAATCCCGGCCTTTCTCATTTCGCATGTCGTCACTTTTCTTTTGTGTTCTTCAGTCAACTTCCAAGATTGACACTGATAGCACAAGTTTTGTAAGAAGACTGAATTTATAATTTGTCTTTTTGTCTCTACTGGGATAGCCCACGTCCTCCACCTGAAAGCCACAAGAACGGTCTACATCTAAAAAGCCAACCAAGGAATTCTAACCTTGGTAGACTGAAGATTATGGGAGACACAAGACATGGTGGCATGGTGGGAGCTTGCACTAAGCCTAAAATGGATACCAGGTAATGTCCTGGGAAGTACAAAGTGCCTTTGTGATGTTGACCACATCACCCATTGAATGTCAATAAGTCTTACCTATACAGATGGGGTTTCATACCAAAAGCGAATGGATGTCACCTAGTGCAGCAAAGCCTTGCATATGATATCATAAAGTTTAGTTTGAGAATGGAGGTGGAGGCAGTTGACTGCTGCCTTCCGCTGACATGAGAATCAGCTGTACACACAGGCCGTGATCGTAACTGACTCAAAGAGCATGTTGAGAAAGGTAAAAACAGGATGCTTTGTGCAGAGTGGCAAGCATCACTTCAGAGGTCCTGGGTAGTTAGCATCCTTTGGATATTTTCTCCAGGTCATGCGGGTGTGTTGGGAAATGAGCAGGCCCATAGACTGGCTGGCTCTGCACTACTTGGTGGTGAACTGATGTATGACAAGTCAGACACTGTGAGGGCCCTTTGGGAGCGAGTGAAAAGTGTGGAGGTGCAGATAGATCATTACAGTCTAAGGAAATTGGCGCTGCGAGGAGTTATCAGGGGATCTGGCTGACACTCAACACTCAGTGGAAGGATGAGACGGATATACAATCAGATGGTTACTGGTACCATCAGAATTGGAAATCTTTGCTTGCTGCTGAAGATGGGGACTGAGCACTTATGGAAGTGTCCCGAGTGCTGTGAAGTCGATTCTTAATTTAACATTCAACATTTTGTCAATTAGTCCATAAAAATAATATAATATATTTTTTTTTTTTTTTACTTTCGCTAACAAATTTTAATATTGACTTCCTTACCAATGACACCACTAAGGATGTCGTGGAAAAAGGAAACCCTACGTTTTTTTTTTTCCAAGACCTACAACGGATTCTCTTAACACCTCTGCCCTTTTCGACACAAGACTAACTAACTAACTAACAAATTTTCAAGCCATATAGCTGCACCATAATATACAGCAGTACTATTCAACTGGTGGCCCACAGGCCAAACCCGAGCCCATGGGGGCCTAGTAAGTGGTCTGCGGATCATTGCCAGGTGTATTCTATTAATGATCTTTCTAAGCTGGGTCTCAGGCCTGTGGCTATCCTCATTTTGGCCCCTGAGTAAACTTAGCTTAATAGCCCTGGTATACAGCTACATACAGCTACTTACAGCTACATACAGCTACTTAGTGTTTTCTCTGTGTTCCTCTGTCTTTTTTCTATCAATTCTAATCAATGTTACAATATATTCCGGTGCACGCAAAATTCAAGTTCTGGAGTGAGACTAAGTTTCAGAATTAGACAAATAACCAGAACTTTTTGCTAGAGTTTACAGCTGATGAATGCGAAAGAAGAAGAAAATAAAGTCACAATTTGTTAGGATAGAAGGAGTTTAAGGGACACCTGGAACTGAAAGTGTTAAAACGCTGTCAACATTTTACACAGGCTAGAATTCTATGAATGTGTCTGTGTGTGTATGTGTGTACTTAGATATTTATTTTGTGTGTGCATGTGTGTTTTGTATGTATATATGTATGTACATATGGATGTATAAATGTGTGTGCACATGTGGTATGTACCTATGTATATGTGTATATAAACAAGTGTGTGTGCGTGTGTGTGTGGAATGTATGTCTATTTGAATGTGTGCATTTACCATCCACGCTTTTATGTATTTTACTTGATATTCAAGTTGTGTATACTGTTATACGAACATAACGAGATATATAGATAAAATACAACTGCAGTATGAAAAAATGAGTGTTTGTGAAAAGGCTGAATGTAAGACAGGCATGTGCACTCAATTTGAGACCCTCTGAAAATAACAGTTTATTCGTTTCTTAACATATAATTGTGCAGACAATAAACTACCTCAAATGAAGTTCTTACCCAAAGTTAGCTGGCTGGTTGTTGAGCACTTCTGGAGAAACATATTCTGCTGTCCCAACAAAAGAATTTTTCCTCTTAGCTTCCACCTGATTTTCTGCTTTTCCTGGGAAAATGTAACGGGAATAAAATGATTACAAACACAATATAAAATATGCTGGCAATAAATCCAAGTAACAGGCAAACAATCATCCCTAAAACAGTGACTACTTTTTATAAATACTAAAAATATATAAATGACTGTCTATATAACGGCTATTCAAAAGCAGCCTGAGGGCCCAATCTAGCTCGCAGAGGCCTGGCAAGTGGTCACTGAATAACTGCCAATAGCATTGTAGTAATAATCTTTCAATGCTGTGACGCAGGCCTCTGGCTTGCTATAATTTCCATTTTCAACATTCTGGCCCTTGAGTAAACTTAGCTGATTAGTCCAGGTCTAAACAACAGTCATAATTATAAGTTTCTATTTCAGAGAAGAATCCTTAGAATTCCTTGGACAGCTAAAAAGAGCAATCCAGATGTTTTGAAAAAGGTGAGGGCTCAAAGACAATTTATCACAAACATCAGAAAAATGCCACAAACATCTGCAGATCGCAGACTATGGAGAGGCATGATCGCCAGGCCAGTTAGCAAGGCACTTGATGATTTCTGATGTGAAGCACTGTAGATAGGAATTGTTAGTGGTACAGATGGGTGCCACTAGCTATGTCATTCACAGTCAAAGAGACAATGCATGCTAAGAAAGGTGGAGAAAGCCATTCTACATTCAGAATGATGAGCATCACTTCAGAGGTCCCCAACAGTTAGCTTCCTCTGGATAATTTCTCCAGGGTATGCAGGTATTTTGAGGAAAGAACAGGCTTACAGACTGGCTGCTGCTGTATCACTGGGTGGTGATTCAATTTGTAACAAGCTAAATATGGTCAAGGCCATCTGGAAGCAAGTGAACAATGCAAAAGCATGAACAGGTCAACAGGGTGTGGAGAGAACGGTGTGGTGGGGAGTGACCAGGGGATCTGGACAACACACTACACTCACAGGGAGAGAAAAACTTAGGTCTTTACACACCCACTCCATGATGAACTAAATACATGTAAAGGCAACAACAGACTTAAACGAGGCCAGTCTTGGTTGGGCTAGCAGAGATAGTAATACAGCGGGCGATTTCCCTTCAAGACATAACTGTGGACAGAAATGGATACACATACTAAATGAATGCAAGCAGTATGATTTGGCGCCACTAATAGTTGCTCCAGAAGTGAAAGCACTGGTAGAGGAACACACATCACAAGAAGTTACTATTTACAAAAATGGTAAAGAAACACAGCAAGAAACAAAGGGAAAGTCTTTAGAGAAGATAATGGAGCCTTTGCTTCTACCACCAGCAGCATGACAGTGGAGGTCATGGTTGTGACAAAGACTCAGTTCACCAATGCATATTTGTCAGCAACTCAATGAGTAAGCTACAAAAGATCAAGGTGGTACATACGGAAAAAGCCACTCCATCTGATACAGAAGGCAGCATTTCGCAAAATCACCCTTTTTGTCCCAGGGTATGCTAGTGTGAAAGGCAATGCAGGGCAGATGCTCTGGCTGTCAGTGCGACTATCAGGAATGGGCCCTCTATGGACAGGAGAGACATCATCAATGCCATAGGAGAGAATAAACACTGTCAGGTTTTAAGTTTCGTAGAAAATGATTTTTCACTGAACAGACTGCATACCATGGGTGTACCAACTGGAGCTGCGAGAGAGGATAACCATTTGGGAGCCACCAGTTGTTACATCAACAAGAACAGAATTGGAGCTGTCAGCCTAAAAACACTTGGAGACATACTCAGGAGAAGATCAAAGCACTTATGATCATGTGCGATGAAGCTGATTGCAGAAATGAACAATGAACAGGAAGAGTCAGACTGACATATAATCAAACTGCCACTGGTACGAATGTAATCATAATCCCTCACTAACTGACGAAGATAAGAACAGAGCCAATCTGGGAAAGTCTAGAGTTGTGTGATGTCAGTTCTTGAATCAGTTCAACTTAAATGACAAGTAAATAAATACATCAATCACTGAGTTGGTATAGTCAAAAAGGACAAGTAAATAAATTTAGTTATAGCTGAGAAGATACAGTTAAAGCGCAAATAAATAAAAAATAAAAATAATTAAGACCAGACAGCTTAACTCTGTCAGTAACAAGCATAATTAGTGGGTTAGTCGACAGCTTATCCTCACTGCTCTTTGAACACATACATTCCATAACTGCCTGGATCCCCTACTCAGTAAAACCTGCAGTGTGTAGTGGCTGATGAAATCAGTTCTGTGTTTTCTTATTTTTCTTTGGCTTACTGCATAGTGCTCTTGTCTAGCCACACCCCTTTTCATCTGCTATTGTTACTGTCTGGTCATGGTTGCAGATTTACAGAACTAGGTTACAGTTCTTGCAACTGCCTTAATTCTCAGCGAGCATTCAGTATATGAGCCTGGCCTATGGCTCGTCCACCCTTCACTGTAGCTCTACCTGCAAGCCTCATTTTGCTCATTTCCTGACACACCTGCATGCCCTGGCACAAAAATGAAACTGATCTTTGTTAGCCCCGTCCGCCTCAGAGACACCAACCAAGCATGTGTTAGTCAAACTTGTTCTATTATAAAAAGCTGTTACTTTAATTAATGTATTTCAGTTTCAGGGGTTGAATCAATAATACAGTGGGACAGAATGAGTCAAAGAAAGAATTGGAGCAGAGTAAATTATTCAAACAACTGAATGGGACATAAAGAGCTTAGAAAGGCTCATCATGTCAGTTGAAACAAACACACTTGTCCTTGGGTACAATATGAGTTCAAAGAAAGGCAAATAAATAAAATCATCAACAAGAAACAGGCAAAAGAATAAATCTTTAAGGGCAGGTAAAAAAAAATTTTTTTACATAATCACTGTCAAAAGACAGTCAAATTCAAGTGTTAGAGAAATATTTTACGAATTCCCACCTTCAGAATCTGTAGATAAAATCTTGGAAGTTCCAAAATCTGTTATCTTGATATGCATGTCCTCACTCAGCAGAATATTTTCTGGTTTCAAATCCCTGCAGAATTCATAAAACAAGAACACACTCACAGCTTTATTAATCATATGGGAGGAGGACACAGAAAATCTAAATAAAAATAACTTATAGAAATAGAGGCAGACAAATAAAACACATGGAGAAGGAAACTGAAGTTAAACAGATGGGGAGGACATAGGAAGATAGAAGGACTTAGCGTGAGTTTGTTGAGGGGATAGAAGATAGAAAAAGAATATTTTGCTTCAGGATTTGCCATTAAAAGGGTGACTGGCATTTTGTGTTGAACAGCTAGGCTGTGATATCTGTGACTTTCAGCTTAACACATCTGATTTCAGAAAATCCTTAATCAGTTGTTCTTTACGATACTGGGTGTAATCCCCACCCCCTACCAAATGGGTTCTCTGAACCTACAAGGACAAAATACAATTTAAAATATGACAACACGATTCTAAAAACTAAGAAGGGAAAGCCCTGCTAAAAAACATACCTGTGAATGATTCCTAAGCCATGCAAATACTCTAGTGCAAGGACAATTTCTGCTGAATAAAACCTAGTACAAGGTACATCAAAAGCTGATAACTTGTGAAGATATCCCAGGAGCTCTCCATGACAAGCGTATGTCAGAACGTAATCTTTATAATGTTAAGAAATGTTCATGTGCATGAAAACTGTGACTAACACTTTTTCAACAGAAAATATGCTTTAAAGTTTTGATTCTGTACTCAGTTACTGAAAATATTCACACATTAGAAGAGACTGGGGCTGAGATTTGTAAATTCCAAAGACAGCAGTAGATACTTCAAAGGTCTGCAGCCAATCTCCACTGTGGAGGTCATCACAGAGCAGCTAGAGGGTGTAAAAGTGTGGTAAGTTGTAAAAGTAATGGATCCGTTTTTTTATGCCTTCAGGAGTGCTCAGCATACACGGTTAGACTTGCAAAGATTTGTAAATTCCAAAGACAGCAGTAGATACATGAAAGATCTGCAGCCAATCTCCACTGAGGAGGTTATCACAGAGCAGCTAGAGGGTGTAAAAGTGTGGTATGCTAGTAAAAGTAATGGATCCGTTTTTTATGCCTTCAGGAGTGCTCATCATACACAGTTAGACTTGCTAAGATTTGTAAATTCCAAAGACAGCAGTGGATACATGAAAGGTCTGCAGCCAATCTCCACTGTGGAGGTCATCACAGAGCAGCTTGAGGGTGTAAAAGTGTGGTATGCTAGTAAAGGTAATGGCTCAGTTTTTTATGCCTTCAGGAGTGCTCAGCATGCACGGTTAGACTTACATAGACCAATTGGCACGCGGTGGGTGATGTGGTCAGCATCACATCGGCTGCCTTTACTACTCAGGATTTTATGTGGTACCTATTTAAGGCTGGGTCAATTAGAAGCCAATGTCATTAAAAATAAATTGTCAGGCTCCGTAACAACTTGAACCCATGGCCTTCAGATCTGCAGGCTAGCATCTGGCAGATACTCCATGGCCTTCAGATCTGCAGGCTAGCATCTGGCAGATACTCCATGGCCTTCAGATCTGCAGGCTAGCATCTGGCAGATACTCCATGGCCTTCAGATCTGCAGGCTAGCATCTGGCAGATACTCCATGGCCTTCAGATCTGCAGGCTAGCATCTGGCAGATACTCCATGGATTTCAGATCTGCAGGCTAGCATCTGGCAGATACTCCATGGCCTTCAGATCTGCAGGCTAGCATCTGGCAGATACTCCATGGCCTTCAGATCTGCAGGCTAGCATCTGGCAGATACTCCATGGCCTTCAGATCTGCAGGCTAGCATCTGGCAGATACTCCATGGCCTTCAGATCTGCAGGCTAGCATCTGGCAGATACTCCATGGCAGCTCCCTGTGGAGTACTAGGAAGTTCTTCTTCTTAGTGTTCAACAGTAAACTCTGGCGCAAAATTCTGGTTATTCATCCACCTCTGGACTTTGGTCTTGATCCAGAACATAAGTTTTGCATGCACACCCATTTTACAGATCTAGCTTAAATATATATGCAGACTGTTGGTTACTCGCCTCTCAGGCCTGATGCACACTGACTTTAAAGGAAAAACCCCAAATTAGTTACATCCAATAACATGCTTATTGAGGGGACAGTGAGTCTGCCCCCCCCCCCTCTTTCCCCATGAAACACAAAACCCACACAGGGATTTCATAAGCAAAGTTATATCAAACTGAGGAGAAGATGCTGTTAAGTGGGTGTCAGAGAAAAAAAGAAATTTATAGAAAGAGAGATACAGTGAGAAAGAGACTGCAGTAGGTAGATAGAAGAAGAGAGATGAAGTGCCAGAAAGATATCAGGAAGGACAGAGAGCGAGAAAGAATTAAGGTGAACAAAAAGGAGAGTGAACATATAGGACAAACAGGATGGAATGAGATGAGAAATTAGTAGAGAAACAGAGGGTGCATAGAAAGAAAGAAAAACATGCATAATTCTATGCAACAATGCCTTCACATAATTCTGCATTACTGTTATATCACATAATTATTACAACTATGAATTAGATATAATTCTACACAACTATGTCGTACATTTCTGCTCCCAAGCCCAGATGAAAAAAGAGGAGGGCTTGTACGTGAGGCCAGCTACCTCACCACAAGATTTTCTTTATAGCTGTAGAAATTGCCAACGATGATGATATTACATCTTACATCACATAATTCTGTATTACTGCTATCACATAATTCTCTATTAGTTTTACTTCATCACAAAAATCTGTATCTTCATCTTCAGCAAAGGATACACAGTCGCTCAGAGTCCTGGAAGGTATAGGCTAGTTTAATGAAGAAAGAGTGGTCAAGTTTCATGAGAACCTCTTTCTCTCTCATGACAAAGTGGGTCTTCCGTTCCCGGATAAGATGCTTCTTGTCACAGACTTTAACTGAAATGAAAATGTATATGAATCTGTAACTTCTCCATTTGTGCGTTTTGTAAGCGAAGTCACTTATAGTAAAAGTGTGAGCTGCGAAGTATGTCTTAAGAGGCAGTTAAGTGGGGTTGACATGATGCTAGCTATCATATTCCATAAAAAATGTTATCTGTGAAATTCAGTGAATAAAGAATATGCTTCTTCTTCTTAATTTTCTTTCGTTCGCTTGCAAAAAATTATCTATATCTGTCTCTAGAATGAACTTCACTGTCTTTTATAATTCACTCAGCGACCCGTAAAGTTTGGCTTCCACCGATGTTTCTCTTAGCCAAAAATTTTGCTTTGATATGTTTGGTTTATTTGGGACAGTCTTGGAGGACCCGATCTTGTCTCAGGTGCCAATCCACATGTGCACATGGCTGATTGGCCGATTTTAAATTTTGTGTACATGTAGCTGAAAAGTCGATTGTGTCCTGTTCTAAGGCGTAGAATAATAACTTGCTCTGTTCTGTCCATAAATTGGTAAACGTCTTGTGCTGGTTTTTATGGCTTTCTGATAGATTTGATTATTCTCTTCTTTTGTTGATAAGAGACTGGTACATCAGGTTGTTCTTAATTTGCACCTTGCTTAGCTAGTTCATCAGCGCTTTCATGTCTAGAAACTTCACAGTGGGATGGTATCTTACACTGGCCGCCTAGTTTGGAGAGTAGTGTTTGTAATAGGCAGATGGAGGAGGACAAGAAGGATGAAGAGGGGTAGAAGTAAATTCTCCTGTGGCATATCACGTAAAAATCCTAGACTTTAAATAAAGCAACAATGCAAGTAACTTTCTGAATCACATTCATCTAGCAACTGGTAACGATAATCTAATGCTAGTACTTACTAATGTACCACAATCCACACAAATATTATCATGTAGATATTAGATAAATATTACCATATATTTACTAGAATGAAATAACCATACAGATACTAGATAGGTAATACCATATAGAAATCCTTCTGATATAAGAAAGTTATCAAAAAGATATCATAAAGATATCATACTAACATATAGATAAGTAAATAAATAAAGGACTTTTTATGCCAGTGGGACATGTGGCATATTTTATAGACCAAGAGGCAGATATCACCATATAGATACTGGACAGATATCTTCATACAGATAATAGGCACAAGTGTAGTAACCTACAAGTGCTTCATTATACTTCTAACTCAAGCCTGAGTATGAAGAATCTCAGCGGACTGCACGAACTCCGTTGCACCGGCAAGGATCCCAAATACTTTGAGCAGATTTTTAACTCCAAATTTTGCACTAAGTAATATTACTGTCAACAACGCAAAAAACATACTTGCAAACTGCCTCTGAGTGCTGACTTCTTTGGCGAGGTAAACCTGAAAACAAAATGAAACAATATCATAAACTGTATAAATCTCAAAGTAAAATTGACCTATTATGAATTTAAATGAGGGTATAAACAAAATACTGCACAAATTATTCTCTAGCATTTTTCAGCTGCATGTCAGTCAGAATATGCATGGCAGTAGCATTAGGAATACTGACTGGCAGTTCCATATTATGCAAAGAAAGTGATTAAAAAAAATGAAAACAACAGAAATGAAGGCTATCCTCCAAATAACGGCACAAAAGATGGCAGGCGCTGGTGGCCAAAAATAGGACCTCAGTCACGTGTCAATTGCGCATTTCCGGCAACCTAATTTGCGGTTCTCCGGTGACTACCGCCACCCCAGAGAGTATCCCCCACGCCGCTCACGCGATGTGGATTGGGGCTAAACTAGATGACTGGGACTCACGAGCAAAGCTGCAGGAGATGCGGAAGCTGCTGCTCGTGGGGAATACTCCCGGCGGTGGCAGTAGTCGCCGGAAAACCGCAAATTTAGTCACAGGAAGTGCGCAATTGACACATGACAGAGGCTCTGTTAGGGTGTTTTTGCGGCTGCCATCCTTTGCGCCCTGGATAGCCGAAATGAAATGTCTACGGCGAATCATAAATGTAACTAGAAGAGACAGGATCAAAAATGGCGATATCAGGAAAGAAGCTGGGATGGAACCAGGTTTGAGGATCAGATTAACATCATGGCACACCGTTAGTAACCCATAAGTGCTCCATTCTTCTTTCAACTCAAGTCTGAATACAAAGAAGCTCAGCACAGTGCCCAGGCTCTGTAGCACTGGCGAGGATCCTGAAAGACTTTGGGTAAATTTTTAACTCCAAATTTTACCCCCGGCAGCACCGTTAGGCTACTCGTTTTTATTTCCAACAGCCAAGGGATTTTTTACGTGCACGACAATGCACACGAGCGTCCGATCTCACTACCCAAAGACCAGGGGGAATTACTAGAAGTTGAAGTCCATGTGAAAAAATTCCAGCCCTTACCGGGGATTGAACCTGGAACCTTTAGCTCTCGAGGAGGACACCCTGCCTCAAGACCATGCAGCCCCCTGGGATGGAACCAGTATTAAACTACAACAAGAGTCAATAGACCATCAGTATAGGAACTCTGCGCTGGCTGCTGAAGATGAGGACGGAGCATGCATGGGAATGCCACAAGTGCTGTGATGTCAATTGTTGACTCAACTCAACTAGATCAAATGGTTTGGACATGCATCAAGACTTCCACCAGACAATGCACCACAGAGAGCCCTGCTACTCAGAGATAATTGAAGCAGAGCCAGAGGTCGACCACGCAAGCTACAGACAGATGAGACGGAACATCCTGAGCTGTAAATTCCAGCATTTACATAGCACGTAACAGAAGTAAGTAAAATAAAGGTCCCTTTTCCAAGCATTTAAGCATATATAGCATATATGGCTAGACCTATATTTTAAAACCCAATCGGCACAAGATGGGTGATGTGGTCAGCATCACGCAGGTGGCCTTTGCTTTCCAGGACTGCACCCAGTACCCACTCAAGGCTTGGTCGACCTGCGAGCCAAGGTCATTTTTGAAGAAAAAAAAGACAGGCTCTGCCAGGGAGCAACCCATGACCTTCCGATCCGCAGGCGAGCGTCTAGCCGTTCCGCCATGGGGACTCCCAATAAGAAGTGATAATGTGGTTAGTCTAGGATTCCTATGTTAAGATGTAGTCGGAAACCATGTTATTTATGTACTTCAGTCAAAAGGATTAATGTTGGTGCGTCATTAAATGTCGACCTAAATTCTACAGTCTGCACCTGACAAGATACAGTGAAATCTGCCAAGCAAAACATTCTGTAATATAGCTGTCTTCACTATTTAAATACTTAAAAAGTTCTTTTCTGTTAAAGTGATAATTAATCACGTCTTTATAGTATGCGTTAACACCTTTCAAGGCAGCGTGGGATGCAGATGAAGGGGTGGGGGTGGGGCCTTGAACCTTAATATTCAGGGTAGCATGGCTAATGCAGTCGCCACAGACTGTGCAAGCTAGGATTTTATTTTTTCCCCACGGCTGAAAAAAATGTATCATCTCACCAATGATTCAATCCTGTGCCTCCCGACTAAGACCCCAGGGTTCCCAACCACTCAAACAGCTGCTCCTCCGATAATTAATTAATTGTAATTACACCTCGCTGTTTTATAAGTCCTAAGTTACCAGTACTGCTTATCTTTTCTTATACAATTCCTCAATGCCAAACTAACATCTTTTCTCTTGATCTCCCCAAGTATCTCTACCCCTCCAATTCTCCTGTTGCCTTGGCATACTTCAAATTTCCCCACTTTCATTAAGTATTCAAAATATAAGGGTAGTCTCCTAATGCAAGTAAATTCTTTTAGTGAGACAATTTCTTTCAAGACATCTTTGAGAGTTTACACTTTTTATCTGTGTATGGTGTTATCATCATTCATTTTAAAAACACATCTTTCGACCTTGCAAAGAGATTCTCATTAACCTCCTGGCTGTCGATGCAACCATTATCAATAAAGAATTCATTCATTGGAACATGCAGGAGATATTTACATATACAAGAATTAGATGCAGAACAGGACTCCATATTTCCTTAGAATAGAACTAAAACTTACACACACACACACACATACAAAACTGCTACTCTGATGAGTGGTAGTCACTGTCATGTAGTGTCTAGACACTCGCCTGTGAATCCAAAGGTCATGGGTTCGGGTCCTGACAGAACAGGACTTTTTACAAAAATGACTTTGGCTCCCAGGTCCACCCAGCCCTGAGTGGGTATGAGGTGCAGTCCTGGGAAATAAAGGTGGTAGGCGTGATGCTGACATCTCCCACCAAGTGCCGATTGGTCTATAAAATATAGGTCCAGCCCTATATGCCCAATACACCTGAAGATGTGGAAAAGGGTCCTTTACTTTTACACTGATGAGCCATGGTAGCCCAGCAAACAGCTCATTTCCCTCCCTGCCTGGTAGCCATATGTTCATCGAGTGTGAATTTTATTTAAAATGACTTGAATTCCAAGGCAGACTCAATCAAAAAGTGAGACTTCTTCTTCATCTTCTCTGGTCCTGTTCTGTTTTCCAGCATCAGGTTTTAAAGAGGCACTGGTATGTGCCAGGCAGATGCTGCTGATAATTATGGCCTCAGATATTCCATCTATCCATTGCTTGCGTGGTCGACAACTAGCTCTGCTTCCACTATGTCTGACTGACAGGGTTCTTTGTGGTGCACTATCCGGCGGTAATCTTGACACATGTCCGAACCATTTGATCTGTTGTCTCTTGATATAGTTTAACAGTCGTTCCATCCCAACTTCTTTCCTTTTATCATCAGTTTTGATCCTTTCCCATGTGGGTTCTAGTGCCCCACTGTGGGGAAAACAAGAACAAACCGAACCCAAAAGCATGTTGTAGAAGTCGACTAATTGGGAGCTTCCTTCAAAGTCAGAGTACATCTGCCTGAGAGGCAAGGACCCAAGAGTCTGTATGTAAATAAGCCAAATCTGTGAAACTGATGTGCATACAACAGTTTCTGGGACAGGAATAAAGTTCAGAAGTGGACAAACAACCAGATCCTTCCACCAGAGATTACAGCCGGTGAACCTGAAGAAGAAGAATTATAATCCTGTCTCTTCTAGTTACATTCAGGATTAATCATAAACATTTCATTTCTTCTGTTTTGATTTTTCATTTTTCTTCTGTTGTTAATTTCCACGTTTGGCACTGGTACCCTAATACCCTGGTAACATGAAATATTTGGGAAGTAAATGCAGCTGGAGGTCTACTACTAATAATGAAATCATTCAATGAGTGTTGATTCGCATAAGGGGTAGCACAATATGTCCAAGTTGCTTCAAGGTGTGGAAATGGAAACTGCCTTTACTTTTCTAGCAAAACTGCTGTATAGTGAACTATACAAAACTCTGGAGGTAGAACTGGATTTGACAAACTATGGCACAAGTAATAACATCACTCTTGACACCGAAGACTATCTTTGTCTGCCAAGTCAAATCTAATGAAAACTATTTTTCTGGCCAACTTTATGCTACCACAGGCAAACATGGACTCGTACTACAAATAATCAGTGCAAAGTCACAAAAACAGAGATGAGATGCCTTAAAAGACCTGCAGGAGTAACAAGATTGATACAATTAAAATAAAGAAATTAGAAGAAGGCTAGAACTGACACAATTCATTAAAGAGAAACAGATGAGACGTAGCCATCTGATGAGAATGCCATGGTATCAACTGCCACAGAGAGGCATGCTGAAACAAAATATAATCAGCACACAGCAAGGGGAAGACCATGCAAAATATGGAGTGATGGCATCAAGAAAAGCCTTGAAGAAATGAGGATCAACGTATGCAAAGCATAAGAAAAAGCACACAGAAGATCCTTCCATCTCTCCCCAACACAAGATGGCGGATGAGAAGAAAAAACAGAAGTAACAGCATCTGCTTTAACTCTTTGAGTCCCAAGGAACGCATCATATGCTCACAGGTTCCTACCTAGAAGCCGAATGAACGTATGATGCGCCGATTTTATGTCTCTATTCACTACCTCTTGGGCCTGTGATGCTAAATGCCCTGGGACTCAAAGAGTTAAAGAGATATAATGCAAATACTGCCAAATTATTTTAAAGACAAAAAATGGGCAAAGAAAGAACAATTATTTTCATCATGAAATCATCATCACAGATTAATAAGGGACATAAAATAAAGAATAAAATGATAACATTTAGAATAAATATATGTGACAATTTTGCAAATAATTTTTTTGTACACAAAATATAAAGAGGTTAAGAACAAAAGCAAAGTTAGGCCACCAAAATTATATTCTAACTTACCGTTGAATATGAACCTTCGCCTATAACTTTGCCAAAGACAAAATCATTTGGTGTTCTCTTTGCTTTCGCTCTGGCAGCTGCTGCAGCTTCAGCTTCTGAAAGTTTAGCTGTGATCTGTTCACCTGTGGCAGGCACTGTGGTTACAACAGTGCTCTTAACTGATGTAAAGTTGGCCGCATCTGCCGATGCCTTCTGCTGTATCTGGTTGTGTGTGTATGGACTAGAATAAGCAGGCTTCACTGGCAACTGAGATGGAGGTAGAGTAATACGAGGTCCTTCAATCAGCTGATTAGTTAACTGGCCTGATTTAAAAGTGTCATTCCCTCCTGTGGTATCTGCTTCTGATAAGGCCGCACTGACAAATCCTTTGACTGGAACGACACTTTCAATGCCTTGTAATGAAGTTGATCTCGGACCAAAAGGCACCTGGTTACCAGATTCTTGTCTGGAATATGTATTACCTGTAGTTTTTGGATGCCGTGAATCAGCTTCTGATACGACTTCAGCACTGTCACGATCTGAATCTACATATATTCCTGAATTTGCACCGTTTAAAGCTTTGCACTCTGAGTTTTCAGCACCTATATTACTTACCAACTGATCACAACTAGTTGTATTTTCTACTGCATCATGGCAATATGATACATTTTTGTTTTCTGTATCTACATATTCAGTAAGCTTGTCAATATTTCTTCCTAGAACAGGCTTCTGTAGACATAACTCTGCACTAAAATTTGCATCGTGAGGTTTTGTCCCTTGAACCTGCATGGAATTATGGCTGTTTGCTAAATCTGTGCACTCCCTGGCAGCAGCATGAGCAGGAAATGCATGACTATGTACATCTGCAGTTTGACATGACGATGTGTGTTTGCTGTCCATCGCTGTGCTTAAGCATTCTGAATTTCTCTGTGGTAAAATGGTGTGATCTGATCTTATGTGGCGGGCAAGATTCTGTTCAACCTCACTCAGAGGCTTTACTGAAATGTCAGGCCTGTCCGTAGGCATCCCACTACAGTTTGTCATCATTTTGTCAGTTATGTAATTCAGGAAGACCCAACTCTCTCAAACTGTAAGAAGAATAAACACACTTACTATATTGACAATGAGCTACTATTTTTATCTTTTCATTTGAGATTTGGTAAAATATAAATGATAAATGAACTACAACTGTAAGAAATCCGAGACTAGTTTTCAAAATAAGTACCACCATTTACCAAATGGTAATTTACTCATCATTATCCTGTTGTGCCATTTATGTCATAAGAGGATGGCATGCTTACCAGAATTGCTTCCTCTCCTGCATGTTCCTGTAACCCACACACACACACACACACACAAAACAAAAACTTTTACAGAGTGAGGGAGCTGGTGCCATGCCCAACCCTCCTCCTTTTTTATCCTGGCTTGGGACCGGCAATGGCAGAGATGGTGATTTACTAAACACATTAAAAAAAACCTATGCTTAAGGAAACTGATGAACATCAAATGGGATGAATTCAAGAAAGGCGAAGAAATCAGAGAACTGTGTTCTATTCAGGTTGTTCACCCCATCACCTCTGGCGCAAGATTTCATAGACCCCCCCCAGGACAGTCCTACGGTCTAGGGGTGGTTAGGTTTAGGGTCAGTCTTAGTCGCTGATCATTTAACACTAGCACTAACACACTAAAACTCCTATATTCTAGCTGGGTCATGTGTTGGTTCTTTTCAATGCTTTTATTGTTTTTTGCATCATAACTTTCATTGTCTGTTACTTTCATTAATTTCCCTCTGCCTCTAGAAGTGCTGTCCTTACTCTGTGACTTGGCCTTCGCCATAAATTCTCTTGACCTGTCAGTATTCCTTCATCTAACACTAACCCTAATGCTTGAACAGTCATTCAGAGAAGAAAAGCCATAAGACTCCTAGATTGTAGGACTGTCCAAGGGAATTACCTATGAAATCTCGCGCCGGACGAGATGGGTGAAAAACCTGAATAGAACTGAGAAATGTATGTGGCAACCTTCACTATGGAAAAAGCACCTGACTGGCTGATCTCCATAAGTGTTACGGCCTTCACAATTCACACCAGAAGAATCACAATAGTTGATGAAATCCATAACACTAATGGAATCCAAATCAGTCGACACAGTCTAAAATAAGGACCAGGTAAAGTCCTGGAAAGACAAGGCTGGTTAGTCCATAAAATATAGATCTAGCACTGAATACCCAATATGCCTAAGGGCATGGAAAAGGTGTCGCTTGCAATTTGTCAGAGGCATTGCACGCTGGCCAGTGTCTATGGGATTTGAAAAATAAGTGTCAGTCCTCCACATCGACACACTGGATTTCCTCCACCCATCAATCACGCCGCCCACTTACCTTGGCACGGCTCATGCTGATGGTGATTATAACCAGCTTTAATTATAATGCAGGCACAGGCAATAAGCTAACACGTCCATAAGTAACAACCAACATTATCTACGAGTAATGTAACATAACAAACCCCGCCAAGTATGACCTTATAGTGCGATCAGCTCTTTATTATGGACAAACACATTGTGACAATGATTAACTGGTGATCAAGGGCACACTGTCAAGTCTTCTGTTGCCTATTGGCAGTCTCTCCGCAGACATGGACAAAACACCCCAGCAAACTATTTACCTGGGGCCTGCTACCGGTAACTCACACCTGATAGTGCAGATACACCTATGGGACAAGGCTGTAGCTGTTCCTCCTTTAACGGACCCCGCCCCACGGACTCAAAGTAGATGCACCTCTTGGTGAAAGAATCCAGACCTCCCATCTGCTACCCCAGCCAATCAGTGAAGCATCACTGACTAACATCCTGTTAATCAGCCTCCGATACTTCCTCATCACAATCCCGTGTTGGTCAACTCGCAGAAGTTCCCTGGCACCTTCTATTCACTTAAGACACCGTTAATCAATGCCACATAGTCACAACCATGTCGACCCAACACACCTTACCGACACAAGTCCATTCTAGAAATCACAATGACGTAATTCCGAAACATACCAAAACCATTGGACAGTTCATGAGAGCTCCACAGAATAAAAACTCAAAATACAACCGTCATACCAAGTCCATACGTGCACAAGACTTGAACAAAATGTGCACTTGCGTCTACACAGTTAGAATGACTGAAAGCTAACTAACTGATTCAAACTACCATGAATGTCTTCCCACCTGCGCTTAAGTACACATGGATCTCACTTTCTCGCCAACACTCAGAGTTTCACAACACCCCTTGTGCTGTCGACCCACATGGATCGCATGAAATCCATCATGTCCGCAAGATTTATGTCCCCAGTGGCTCACGCTACACTATCTTCCAGTGGCCCCAAATGATAAAGTCCTGGCTTCATTAACTCTCTACACCTCACAGCGATATCACACACAACAAAAGGGTCCTTTATTTAATGAATCCATATATGTGTAAACTAGAATACTAAATGTTATAAGACTTTTTTAAAGGTGAGTTTCCTTCTTCTTCCATGTTCACTGAGTTTTACAAAAAATAGTGGGCACACTGTGTTCACGGTTTACAGCTAGGCTGTGATATCTGCACCTTTCCACCCACCATATCTGATTTCAGCCAAACCTTAATTAATCGCCTTTTACGACATGCCTGAAATTGGGCAAGTTGATCTACTATTTTCCCCAAAATGGAGTAACAGAAAAACACTGGGAAGGTGGGTTTTATCATTTAACAGGAAAATAAATACTACTAAAACTGAAGTAAATGCAAGGCAGTAGAATTCCTAGTCTGCTACATATAGGGTTTTCAAAGAGGTAGAAAATTGTAAGGAAGAGAAAAAAGGGGTAAGAAAGAACAAAAAGTGTATGTTAGCTTTACAAAATCGATCACAATAAACAAACAAAGGACACTGCGGCGATTAGCTTTCTTCAGCATATAAAGAACAACACAGAACACATCAAAAATATAACTATGAAGTGACAACGTAGGACTCTCATGTACAAAATAAATTATACTCATCTGTGTCTCTGGCGAAAAACTTCGTTCAAGAGGATGAATAGGACAGGTACTAGCCTATATATCGCCAACTCGGCAGACATGAAACGAAAACTGGGTCTGTATACCTGGGAAATGGGCGGGGTAGACGCCAGCAGACACTACAGCGTACACTGAGTGTCTAAAGGGGGAGGGAGGAGTTGACCAATATGGTGTAACCAGGGTTGGGTTGTGGGGATGACACTAGTACATCCGCATGGAATAAAAATGGTGCCTGTGCTAGACAACAAATACCAACAGTCAGACATATAGGGTTGAATGGTACTTGTCTGAAGCAGGTCACAGAATTTAAATATCTAGGAAAGACACTCTCAGAAGATGGGAGAATAGTTCAAATGCACTTATATACCAACTGACACCATTATTAAGACATCCAAATATGAGTACCAAGAAGCAGAATATAAACAGCATATTCATACCAACACTGCTACCAGTGCCAGACTTTGACATTATAAACAGATTAACTTATGTAAGTGAAAAGGCGAAAAATGCAATAGTATGGACATGTAATAAGATCTTACAGCCTCTCAAAAACAGTACTGCAGGGCTCAGTAGGGGGAAAGAGGAGAAGAGGCAGACCAAGAAAGACCTGGTTAGAGAATCTGACTGACTGGACAGGCCTCAAGCATGCAACCATGACGTCCATTGCAAGTGACTACCGAAGGTGGGGAGAGCTGATCAGACAGTCAACAGAAACTGGTGACCCAACGACACGTAGTGTTACGGGATGATGATGATGAACTTACGTAGAATTAACACCAGTTAAATGAGATGTCTGAAAAAATCTGTAAACTTAACTATCCAAGATAAAGTTAGAAATGATATTATCAGACAGACTCTAGGATCAAAACCATGCAAAAATTCACTGAAAAACAGAAGATTGAATGTTTGGGTCATTTAGAAAGAATGCAGCCAGAACAACTACCAACACAGCCAAAACACATTGAAATATCTTATGTGAAAGCAAGAGGTCGCGTTTGGAGAATATGGACTGATTACATTAAAAGAGCTTCTACATCGACATGGAAGGAAAATAACCACTTCTGCCCTACAAGCAATGGATCACAAACTGTTCCTCCACACAATGGTTAACTGCAGAAGTTGACATTCATTATGATGATGAAATTTAAATATCTGAGCAGGTTTCAGTTCAAGGACAAGTAGTCAGGTTAGTAAAGTATCTAAAGAAAATTTTAATTAAATTAAATGTTTGTTTAGCAGTAACAAAGCAGTTTAAATAATGTTCCTTTGTCAGGTCTATCCTGGAAGTCAATGATGTTAACGTAATTTAATATTAAATTTACTCTCCGTGTGGATTCCGGGGCCCTATTATAAGGGGAAACAAGAATAGACCCCACTGCCTACACAAAAGCATGTCGTAAGAGTCGAATAATTGGGAGCTTCCTCCAAAGTCCGAGTGCATCTGCCTGAGAGGCAAGAAACCAGCAGTCTGCATACAAATGCGTCAGATCTGTAAAATAGATGCACACACAACACTCAGGTTCTGGAACAGGACTGCAGTCCAAAAGTGAATAAACAACCAGAACTTTCCACCAGAGTTTACAGCTGGTGAACGCAAAGAAGAAGAAGAAGAAGAAGAAGAAGAAGAAGAAGAAGAAGAAGAAGAAGAAGAAGAAGAAGAAGAAGAAGAAGAAGAAGAATTTAACATTTAGGAACATATATTTTTTAACAACCTAATCACTGACTATCAAACCTCACCAGACCTGTTCAGTCTCTCTGTAGTAACATTTGTATTTTTAATTCTTAAACTAAACAACTAGCAGATAGTTCTACTTTCATTCATCAAAAATGATTTGGAATATGCGATCACTATTACTTTAACCTA